GGGGGGGGGGGGGGGGGGGGGGGGGGGTGGTCAAGGGAGAATTTGATATTCTCATACAATTTTTATGTGGGTTGCTTCCGCGCTTCATTCGGATGGAAGGTTTTTTTTTTTTTTTTTGAATGGTTTTGATTCCTGCGGTGTAGATTTGTAGGCCCTATTACACTCATTCTACTTTTTCGCAGCAGGCCTTTAGTTGGCTGCGCAACGACCAGCGAATTCGGGATTTCATATGTTGTTATTCCTTGTCTCAGTCCCCCTAAAAAAGGGGATAGTAAATGGAATCAGCATAATAACTGTCTCTTTGCAATGGTCTGTCGAAGGTATGCATCTATTGGGTTATATGTCTATAGTTATTTTATCATCTACATGTTTCAGGCTGCGAATGCCATCAATCCATCAATCCGTCAATTTCATACATACATAACGTCGGACACTCTTCAACTCCTCCCCCCCCCGGTTCAACTTCTTTCACCATCCCACCCCATCACCCCATCACACCTTCAAACCGCGCTTCCAGCTCGACCGTAAACAACACGGGCCCATCACACGAAACTGTCACAACCTCCTCACGCACATGGTTGCTCGTACTGACCCTCCCTCCAAACTCCGTTTTCCACTCCGTCACATCCCACTCTAGACCGTGCGTGGTGATAACCGCCGGCCCGGCGATGGGAATGATACCGATGTTCTCAGCCAGAGGTGTTGTCGTTGGCATATCCCTCTCTGGATCTGATACTCTTGCAGTATCATGGGTGGTGGTGGTGGTGGTGCACGTCGATTTCGATGGCCCCATGCGTGATCCGCCGGGTATATGTATCCTGTTGTCTCCGTGGGGCAGGACGAACGTCACGCTCTCTTCGGAGACGAGGTATAGTTCGCCATGGGTATATGTGAATGTTGCTGGTGATGGGGGTGTATGTCTTGAGGAGGTGTAGAGGTGGTGGATTTGCGAGAAGGCATGGTCGACGCGGCCGCCCAGGCCGCCCAGGATAAGCACGTCGAATGCTGGATGGGTCTCTGCCGTTCTCGGAGCTGGAGCTGGAGCTGGAGCTGGAGCTGGAGCTGATGATGTTGGACTGCTGTTGTGGGTATCCTTGGTAGCAGCGGCAGCAGCAGCAACAACAGCAGCAGCAACAGCAGCACGACGGGATTGTATATAACGTAGACATTTCGTGAAGTCTGTGTACTCTTGGTCCGGATCGTGGATGACGGGGACATGTAGGCTTTCATAGAACATGCGGACGTGTGGGCTGATGGAGTCTAGGTCGCCGACTATTGCGTCGGGGAGCTTTCTTGGTTCTTAGGAAGGATAAAAAGTAGAAATGATGTGATATGGGGTATTTCAGATATTTTCAATTTTTCAATTCTTCAATTTTTGTTCTACATAAAAAAGGGAAACTATGCATTGAAAGGAGAAGAAAGAATATATATATACCTCCACAGACTCCTTCTCCCACCTCTGCATGAGGGTGTAAAAGCGGTTTGCGCCGCCATCTGCGCAGATTGTAAAGCTTGCTAGATTTGGTGGTCGGGTAAGTTGTTTAGATTATATGGAATATGCATCCATGGATGGGATGTCCTTTTTTCATTTCCTTTCTTTTGTCCAAGGATCTGGGTCTGGATCTGAATCTCACCATGCTTCTTGAGGATCTTGCAGGCCTTTTCGTTGATTGGCTGGTTGAGAATGAGGAGAGCGAATGGTGAGGACGGGGGTGTTGGGGAATTGAAGAACCGCGCTGGATACCAGTCCATGACTGCATGCACTTGATATGAGCAACGTGGGGTGGGGGTGGGGTACCAAGAGAGGTGATTATATTATCCACTGCCGGCGGACGCTGTCTGTATCTGCATGTATTTGCAAAACTCGAAGCTCAATTGCGTCCAAACTCCAATCCTATGGCGATGCGATGGATTGCAGATCAACGGAGGAATATAATTCCTAATTCCATTCTTGGCACTTAGTCATCGACGTGCATTTGCCAGTTGACCAACTTAGTTAACTAACCCGTTAACTGCTACTGGTTGAACTCGTTCAACCGTTTCTGGTCCAATCCGGCTAGGCGTAAATGAATTACCGTATCGAGACAAGCGCCATCTCGTGGCAGTGACAAAGCACGTTGAATAAGGGAGGGGCCAGGCCGTATCGTAATCCGGCGTATCCAGGGGCCTTCCCTCAGACTGTCCCACCGGCGAATCGCGCAAGGGGGTACCACCGAGAGCGGGTACAATACACGTACGCGGGTGGTCCCAGGTGGCGGCCAGCCGACCCAAAGCGGCATAGCCCAGGAGACCCCCTTTCCACCCGTCTCCACCCTTTCCCAGAGTCAGACTCAGTCGGTCTCAGACAGGCCAGCGCGCTGTCTCTCTCTCTCTCTCTCTCTCTCTCTCTGTCTGTCTCTGCTGCTGCTGCTGCTGTTGCTGCTGCTGCTGGTCTTTGGGCTTGTCTTCGTTTGTCTTCGTTTCCTTCTCCGTTCTTCTCTTCCACCTGGACTCGCCTTTACCCGCGCAACTCCACCCCCGTCTGGAGACATATTTTTTTCTTTTTCCCTTCTCAATTTCTCGCTCTCTCTTCTTCTTCTTCTTCTTCTTCTTCTTCTTCTTCTTGTTCTTGTTCTTGTTCTTGTTCTTGTTCTTCTCTTTCTTCTTTTTCTTCTTCTTCTTCTTCTTCTTCTACTTCGACTTCAACTTACTCCTTTTCTGAAAGGGGCGCGTCATACTTTACCACCCCGTTCGAGTCCACGCCTCCCATCTCCCGTCGTTCCACTTCGCCTTCTTTTAATTACACCAAGCAGGATTTATAACCTCTTCGTTCGTCTTGTCCAGAACAGTGCCCTGATCTCGTGCTGTTCTCTCTCCACCCTCCGCTCCTTTCTCATTCTTTTGTAGACCGTGGTCCGTGTTGAGAAAATCTCGGCAAGGTCGTGAAACCTAGCAGCTGTTCTCTTCCCTTTCTCTCCCTGTTGTCTCAGTTTCTTTCCTTTTCTCCTTCTCCCCTTCTCCCTTGAATTGGAGCTGGAATTGCTCATGCTCACTAAGAAATGTATAAACGGTTGAAGACTGAAGAAGAGAATATCTGCTGCATCGGGCTCCCCCCTGACTAATCCCCATGATCTGGCTCCTTCCCCTTATTACGTGTCCTGACTGTTTTTACTAACGGGAAGTTGTGACCCTCCACAGATTCTTTTACGCTCCTTCGACTTTCAACTCCTTCACATAACAACCTGTGCCTGCCTGTTTCTCTCTTCCATTGAAAACCTCCCTCAAGATGGGTAAGCCTCAGTTTTGTTTGTCGTCGTGTTTCCCGCCAGCGTCTGTAGAACTACCCGTGATACCCCTTCGTCGCCCCGTATCTGTTGAAGCAGTGATTGACTCTGTTGTGTTCTGTGATCCTTTTGTCGTGTGGTTTTGTTGTTCTCCCCCTTAATCTCCCCCCCCCCTCTTCCCTTGGTGACGAAGAGAAACCTGTTGCTATGGGCCATTGGAAGTTTCGAGTGGCCGCCCCAAAACAGGAGTGCCAGATATGCGGCCATACCACCCCCCGGAACTTGAAGATATCCAAGCTCCAAGGGCCCTCAATCGCACTTTGCACTCCTGTTCGGAAACACAGCGTAGAGAACATCGAGTTTGAAAACAATACTGACATGATGGAACCAGCCTCCGCCGCAAACGGTATCCCCGCTCCAACGCGACCCTCTCCGGCTGCAGCTAGTACACCTGGAAAACCGCCGTATGTTGAACGCAGCAACCCAATGGGACAGGGAGCTGCCCAAACCGTCACTTCCAAGAATCCCAAGGCCGCTGCCCAAGCTGCCAGCGACATGAGGAACGTTGTCCGTCGGAAATTGACTGGTTACGTTGGATTTGCCAATCTCCCAAACCAATGGCACCGCAAGAGTGTCCGCAAAGGATTCAACTTCAATGTTATGGTCGTTGGTATGTAGATACTTGTCTCCTTAACTACTGTTGGGCTCCGCTTTTTCAAACACATGCTCAATGTCCACTTCTGTATAGGTGAATCTGGCCTGGGAAAGTCTACTCTGGTCAACACTCTGTTCAACACATCCCTGTACCCCCCCAAGGAGCGCAAGGGCCCTAGCCTTGACATTATTCCCAAAACCGTTGCCATCGAGTCCATCAGTGCCGACATTGAGGAGAATGGAGTTCGCCTTCGTCTTACCGTTGTCGACACCCCAGGTTTTGGCGATTTTGTTAACAATGATGACTCCTGGCGCCCAATTGTCGAGAACATCGAACAGCGATTTGATGCCTACCTCGAAGCTGAGAACAAGGTTAACCGCATGAATATCGTGGATAACCGCGTCCATGCATGCGTCTACTTCATCCAGCCAACCGGCCACTCTCTGAAACCTCTCGACATTGAAGTCATGCGTCGACTGCATACCAAGGTCAACCTCATTCCCGTCATTGCCAAGGCTGACACGTTGACCGACGAGGAAATTGCTCTTTTCAAGCAGAGGGTATGTGATTACAACGCTCCAAATCCCCTCCTTTTCCGATGATCAATTCTGACATGTAACCCAGATACTCGCCGATATCCAACATCATTCCATTCAAATATTCGAAGGGCCTCGTTACGAGCTTGATGACGAAGAAACCATTGCTGAAAACCAGGAGATCATGTCCAAGGTTCCCTTTGCGGTTGTTGGAGCAAACTCGGAAGTTACCAGCAGCGAAGGCGGCAAGGTCAGAGGCCGCCGTTATCCCTGGGGCGTCATCGAAGTTGACAACGAGGAACACTGCGACTTCGTCAAACTCCGCCAGATGCTTATCCGCACCCACATGGAAGAACTCAAGGAACACACAAACAACGCTTTGTACGAGAACTACCGGTCCGACAAGCTTACACAGATGGGTGTAGCGCAAGACCCCAGCGTGTTCAAGGAAGTCAACCCTGCTGTCAAGCAGGAGGAAGAACGCACTCTGCACGAGCAGAAGCTTGCTAAGATGGAGGTGGAGATGAAGATGGTGTTCCAACAAAAGGTGCAGGAGAAGGAAAGCAAGCTGAAACAGAGCGAGGATGAGCTCTATGCAAGGCATCGTGAGATGAAGGATCAGCTTGAGCGGCAGCGGGCGGAATTGGAGGAGAAGAAGTCGCGTCTTGAGAGTGGGCGGCCCCTGGAGGATAAGATAAAGAGGAAGGGATTCTCTCTTCGTTAGTACAGTAAAGTCGATTCGTTCGCTCTCATGACCGGGTCTGCATATTCTGGATCCACATGGAACGTTTGCTTGTGATACACGACAAATGCTTTCTGTTCTGCCTCTGATTTGATTCCACCTTTTTCTCCCTTTTTGAGTCCCCATCCCGCTCTCATGGTTCCAGCGCTGCCCATCTAATACCTTTTCTCTTCTTTTAGCTCTGCCTTTTTTTTTTTTTTTTTTTTTTTTTTTCGTTCATAAAGCTCGGCTCTTCTCTTACACTCAGATACTCGAACGCTCATTTTCTTCTTCCCTATTTATTTAGTACCAGTTTCTCCCTCTCTTTCTCCACCTTTCTGCTTCTCTCATCTATACCTCCTTACCGTTTATTTTGTTTCTGTAATGACATTTGAAACCTTATTTTTTGCCCTCTTCCATATTTTCTTAGGGTCGCTGTTTTAACTAAAAACACTTTGTGTCATAGAAACCGATGGAGCCAGAAGAGACTACCGTTTTTCTTATATATCATCTCGCACTTAATATCCTGTCGATCGATCAACATTTTTCTTTTGTCGAGCGGGTTCGTTTCCTTTTCTTCCTACTTTTCCCCTGTCCCATTTTTGAGGGGTTGCGCGCACACACGAGAAAAAGGAAAAGGATATGTTCATGTGGAGGTTGGTATTATTGTTCATCCTCAAAACGTGCACTGTTAAAAAAGCAATTTTGTGGTTTCTCTACCTCTTTTGAAGAGCAACTTATCCCTTGTCCCCTCTGCAGGTGCGGGCGTGACCTGGGTTTGGTGCAGCGTATTTATTATATATTACCCTTCGTTGCCAGTTTCAGGAATCACCTGTCCTCCCGTTGCCTTTTCTCCCCGTTCTCTCTCTTTTTTTTCCTTCTTCTACTGTTTGAAAAGGAAAGAAAGAGAAAAAAAAAAAAAAAAAAAGCAAAACTGCCTTTCTTGACATGTATTGTCTATCCTAGCTATAAATCTTGCCTTTTTTTTTCTTTTTTTTCCTGTCATTTTTAATCTCAGCTTTTTATTGAGATTAGTTTATATTAGTTTTAGTTATCCTTTTTTGTGCTTTCTACTTCGATGCTAATTTCACCTCTAGTTAACCCCCTCGAGAGTGCCTATTGTCTCAAATGCCCATCCATTTCTGCCCATTGTTTTTATTTTTTCCTTCTCAAACGCAGAAGCTCTCGTTATCGGTTGCTGCCTGTTCATTTTCCCTTCGTCTTTCTATCCTAAGTTGTCAGTTGTCGTTTGTCCGTTTTGCTTTCTTGTCGTGTTTTGCCCTTGAAATATCCCAATGTGTCTGGTGGAGCCTACGGTATCTACCTAAATACTGCATAGGTGGAATTTTTTTTTTTTTTTCTTATTGCACCCGCTCTGTGTTCTCCCTATTGCCTGACTTGCAGGTTTTTACATCCCGTCCTGCTGTTACCTACCGGTCTCAATATAAGTTTCGAATAAGACCTGTTTTCGTTTTAGATGCCTTTCGGTCTACTGTCGGTTATGTAAACATTTCATTGTGCTGAGATGGTTTTTTGTAAGCGACTACATAGACTAGGTGTGGTGTACGGAAAATGTTGATTGTAGGCGTCTACGCGTCATGGTAGGTAGGTATGTCAGTAGTCATTTGTTGATAAGTACCTAGGGTAGGGAGGAAGCGGCATATTGGCATTGTTTTATCAGTTAGATCTTTCGTGACATGGAGGATTGGGCCGGTGGAGTATTTATTAATGTATGATGGCCCGCACAACAGTGGCTGGCATTATTACGAGCATTGGGTTCTTCCGGTTGAGAGGAAAGGGAAGTGGGGTTTAAGATCTTTCGTCTTTCGTCATTTTTGGAGTTCTTGTTTTTTTTTTTACAAAGTAGTTTGATTGATTGGGTTTGTTTGAGGGGAGTCCTTCCATGATTTTGAAAGGGGGTCAGACGTCTGTCTGTCAGTCTGTCTGTCTGTCTGTCTGTCTGTCTGTGTGTCTGTGTGTCTGTGTGTCTCCCCTTTTTTTGAGCTGCATTGTACATGTATTTTTTCATGTGAAAAGAAGAAAAAAGGGTTCTTAACTTAAAATTTAAGAAATATATCTGACAAAGAATAAGGGGACATTTATAACTAGTTACTGGCCTATTGTGCTATTTTGATTCAAATGGTTCAAAGTTAATTCCTGTGTTGGTTGGATAATACGTCATCATCAGTGAATATGAAGCAGAAAGAAAGAGAGAGAGAGAGAGAGAGAGAGAGAGATTGTTGAAAAATATTTCCATCTCTCTCACAACACTCTGATCTTGTTTATGTTTTTGTCTTCTCTAAATGCCCAAACAAAAACTGTGATCAAAAGTAAAATGTAAAATGTAATCTTCAAAAGAACTTCTATAACTCTACTTTGTGAGAGAAAAAAAAAACAATCAAAAAAATAAATTAAAAAAAAAAAAAAAAAAAAACATCCCAAATCCAACCTTACATCACATGTCAGACAAAGCAACTCAGGTGCAGCCCAGCCTGCTTCAAACCCACCCACATATTCCAACTGCGGTTAACTCCACCCAAAAAACCCCATGCCACAAGGAAAACAAACAAAGCAACAATGTGTGAATACACCTCCCACGAGTACTACAAGGCCTGCCATCACACAGTCCCCTGCCACCTCAAGTACAGCCTGCGCTACTGCCAGAGCCCCAACGGCACCCCGTTACCAGATCCGTCCAAACTCAAAGAATCCGGCTTCTGCCCGTCGCGATGTTGCGATATGGACAAGTGGAAGCAGAGGGTTATGCGGGTGGAGGGGAAGTGTTTGAATTGCGTGGAGACGGAGGAGGGGCGGGTGAATGATCAGGGGTTGGAGCGGGAGCGGGAGCGGGAGCAGCAGCAGGGCAGGTGGATAAGCAAAGGAGCGGTTGAGGAGGTTGATGGCGGCGATTGGGAGGCGGATTGGGATTGGGAGTGTGAAAGGGAAGGGGGAGGAGAAGGGGGAGGAAGAGGAAGAAGAGGAAGAGGGGGTCAAGGAGACGAGCGTGTATCGGGACTGGGATATTCCTGATACGATTCACAGGTTCGAGTGCGGGCACTGCAAGTTCTGGATCAGGGGGGACAGCGTGCAGAAGTGCTTACATGTGGTTGGGGGGGTTAGTGGGGATGGTCGTGGTGTCGACGTTTCCAGGTTCCCTGTGGAGGAGGGGGACTGGGAGATTGTGGATTTTTGGGGGACGCAGTTTCGGTATTCGGTGGAGGAGGTGGCTAAGATAAAGGTTCAGGGGCGGCATGTTCGAGGGCTCTGCGGGGGATGTCAATCGCAGAGGTTTAGGGCGGGGGTCGAGGCCGGGTTGGAACTGGGGACGGGAGGGCGGGGGCAAGGTGAATCGCCCCAGAAATACATCCTGGAACTAGAGGAGCAGAGGGAGAGCGAAACCAAAGAGTCTTCGCCGTCTCCCCAGATACCGCCCGTGACATTTGAGGACCACATCGGGGCATTGGGGGCGTTGTTCCCAAAGTTTGCGCTGAGCTCGGAGGATCCCACAAAGGTCCAGGGGGCGTTGGAGAAGAAGAGATGGGGATTGAGAACCCCAAGGTTAATTACAGTGTGCAAGGGGTGGGTGAGAACTGGACGGAGAAAGAAGAAGACGGAGCAGTGAAGATGGCTGTGCTTTTTCTTCATTTTCTTTGACTGTTGTTCTTATTCTTGTTCCCTTTGCTTTGTTTTGTATTGTTTTTTGTTTTTGGGATTTTGGGATTTTGGGATTCTGTGTTATATTCACTACTGGACTGGGTGAGATATGATCGGGTTCCTCTGGGGAGTTGGGAATATAAGTAGGGAATATATGACGAGTTTACCCTAATGGAATAAACATTTCAAACATCGAAAAGGGATAAAATTTGTACTCTTGCAAAATATATACTTGTCATTAACGAGTATTAAACATGGACAGAGGAATAAGTGCAAATCAGGGGTTAAGAGAGTGCTCTCGCTATACAGGGATTGTATAGCCCGGCAAGAAGCACCATCGAATGATCAATGATTACCAAAATGGTAGATGACAGTTTGCTTCAAGGAAAAGTGTATGCTGCATTTTAGAATAACAAGCAACGATTAATTGCAATCGGTTCCGTGGCTCCAATGCTAGCGATATGGCTCTCCCAGGGAGACTGACAAACCTCGGATCAGCTCCGTCGAGAAGCTGGAAGAATATCATGAAGGCTTTTCAAATGAAACAGGCCCTTTATATCTGAGACGTAGAAGTGCCGGTGTGCAGCGGGCGGCAACATGTCTACTTTCATAGAAATCGTCCTTGACATCCAGGGTTTGGCATTGAGTTTTGCTGTCCCCGGGTGTTTGATGTCATTGGAGAATTGGAAGTTGGGATGAAGTTTTACACATGTCACATGACCGCAATCTGTGGTCGGCTGAAACATCGTCACGAGCAATACGGAAGTAACTGCTACCAGTATCATTCCGTATCCATGGGATGTACCGTCATGTAATCCCAGATGTGCCTACCTGCTCTCCTTCAGCAAACCCTGGCCCAACCACGAGGGTTCTTGACCCGATTGATACCGTCAGCACATTACGCTGCCCTTTTACCGCCCTCACAGAGTCCCCGTACTGACGATACAAGCCCGATTGACTCCAACAACCTGCCAGCCAAGCCAAAAACAAGGCAAGGCACAAACCTTCCAACACCTGGCCCGAGTTCCAACGCTTGATCTCGCACACACCGCACAAACAAGCAGACGCAAAGGAAGAAGTGAAAGATAATCCTGCAGCCTGCTTCCCCTCCCACGATCTCCCAAGGCCATTTCTCCGTATATCCCGGGCGATCCAGGGTTCGGTGGTCTCTGCTTTCCTTCTCTCCCGTTACGCTTCAACATCCAAGCATCACAACAACACACACACACACACACACACACACACACAACACAACTACAACATCATTCCCCACAGACAGCTGGCTCCCAACGCTGAGACATCCGTTTTCCGCCTGTTGAAAAGCAGCAAATGGCCCCTCCGCCTCCAGCAACTCTGCCCTTGGGCGAGCGTCTAAAGATGCTCGCCCAGACTTTGCAGTACGTGTTCTTGTAATGAATGATATATGCGATCGGGGAATGTGGCATGCTAATTCTTGTATTCGCAGGTTCGGTTGGTTTCTTGGGTAAGTTCTGATTCCAATAAGATGACGGAGAGAGCAATAAATTCTCCTCTGATAATCCCCCCTAGTCGTCTTTGATGTGCTGTGTAAGGAAAAAAAAATAAAAATACTATGCGGAGAAATAAGCACAAGGTGGAGTGAATCGTCACCCATCACCACACATTTTGGTCTTGAGTGTGATGATATATCAGTTTGCACACAAGAATGACAAACATGTATGCACACAGCTGCTCGCTCTTGTTGCTAACTGACATATCTGGATATTAGACACTTGACCTTAATCCTTGCTGTCTTACGATACTTCATCTCCTATGTCACTTTCAACTACTTCTCTGGCATGGCCAGAACCTCATACCGTCTGGCATTCGTAGCTGCTGCAGTTACATACGGCATCGTCGTTTACAAAGCCTATATCGCTCGCGGACGTCTGGGAGGATCCATACCCGCCACCGCCATAAGGTTGGCCAGTGACGAGAATGTCCAGTACTTAAGTCAGTGCCCTCCCCCCAATATATATCTCTATATGAAACACACAAAACAAGCTAACAATGACCAACATCAGTCATGGCCCTCGTCTGGCTCTACTCCCGCCAAATCCCCATCGCCCTCCTCCCCTTTGCAATTTACTCTGTCTTCCACGTCGCGACCTACACCCGCACCTATCTAATCCCAACCCTCCAGCCTTCCAAGCCCGCCACATCTTCAGCCGCATCCCCCTCCGCCTCCCCCTCCGCCTCCCCCTCTGGCCGCCACACTAGCGCACCAAAACAATCACCCCTAGCCGAAAGCATCGGCCGCTTCGTCAAACGCTACTACGACGCCAGCATGGGCCTTGTCGCCGCTTTTGAAATGGCCCTGCTATTCCGCCTGGTTGGCAGTGCGCTGACGTTCTCCAGCGGCAGCTGGGTGCTCTTGGCCATCTACTTCGTGTTCTACAGGTCGCGGTATGCGCAGAGCTCGTTTGTACAGGGGACTGTGGCCCACGCGACTGCGCGGGTTGATGCGGCGGTTAGTCATCAGAATACACCGCCGCAGGTTAGGCAGGGGTGGGAGATTTTCCAGGGGGTGGTTAGGAGGGCATATGAGGCTACGGATCTAAGGAGGTATATGGGTGGCTATGGTTATCCAGGGGCTGCTGCGGGTGGGAAGAAACCACAATAGGGTTGCGGGGAGAGGGGTTTTAATTGTTTGGTGTTTTTTTTTTTTTTTGGAGGGGGGGGACTGGGAATGGAGGTCGACTGATCTGGAAATAAGAACTTGACAATGCTACGATGACGACAATCATGGCGTACAGGGCTAGCTATCCGATACGTAATTTCTTCGCTTTTTCTCCTTTTGGTTCCCCGGGCTGAGAGAAAGGTTGGGTGTGGAGAAGCTCTATCGAGAACCGTCTTATTGGTAACTCGCCCGGTCCCCAAAATAAGGGGGGGAATCTTAGATATCATCCTTCAGGACAGAGGCCGATTGTGCATTCATCCCCACCTGCAAATGCATTATTCTTTTCGGATTGGGAGGAAGGAGGGGCAACTTTTTCAAGCGACCGCGGTGAACATAAATATACCTAGGTTAGTTGAGGATGGGAGTAAGGGGTTGAAGGAGGAGAGGAGGCTACCATTTCCGCTGCAATTGGTGCGGTGGTAGGTGATTTTTTTTTTTTTTTTCTTTTCCACAAAAGAACATAATGGGTCTGTACTTTTAGGCATTCTCATCTACGTCTTTTCTGCTGCGATAAGTTTTTAACTTGTGTTTGGAATGTTTTGTTGACCCGACCATCCTTACCTTGCTTTTTGTTGATCTTTTTTTCTGACGAAGATGAAGATGAAGATGAAAGGAGCTTTGTTTATCTATCCTATTATATGTTTGTTTCTCTTTCCTCTTTATTTTTCGGTGATAACTGTTGACGTCCTCCTATCTCCTACATGTAATGCTTGATTCCCATTTGTAGCTATCCTCATTTTGATCAGCGGGTTGCTCCCTTTTGTTCTTCATGAATAGCGAGTTTCTCTCTTACTCTCTTACTTTGATGCAAAAAAACTTTATGGCCTATCGCCTTATGATTTTTCATCCCGCACTTCTATACGTTTCCAATTTTTATTATTCCATAGTTCCCGCTAAATCATCTGTCTCTGATGTATGGTACGGATCGATAACTGGGCAGAGGGCAGAGGGCGTTATCTCGTGCTCTGCTGCAGACCGTGTATGGTGCTCCATTATTTCTCCCCTTACCTGCTCGCACTTTGCGGTATATCGAAGTAGCCCTATCCAACATGAGCAATGCATGACAGTTGGAGAAAACGGTGCTGAGCAACAGTTGAAGTATTTCATATCATCCGGCCCGGATCAACATTCCGCCGACCAATCCAAAATTTAGGGTTTCAGCCCGCCCAAACGCCAGAGGAAGAGGGTTTAAAAAAAAAAAAATGGATAACAGAAACTTCTTGTCAATCTCCAGAACGCCAGACCCTCATTTACTCAAGGTGCCCGACAACGTCTGCCCGCCTACTCCCCTCAGTACACATTGAAATATACGATGGTTTGAAAGCGCAGAAAGCAAATCAAGCATGGCCATGTCCGTCCCTCTCTCGTTTCGAAGTTGCTAGGCTATCCCGCTTGCTCAGCTTTTTTTGTCCTGCTTTCGTTTGAGATACACGCACCCTCCGCTCACGATATACCCCCAATCTGGAGAATCAATGGGAGAAGAGGAGAGAGTGGTTTATAGATATACCCATTACACATACACACACAGACGTTACTCTGAGTTCGCCCGGTAATATATAAGAGAAACCAGAAAAGCGAAGAAAAAGTTTCCAGGCGACGCAAAGCCTTAGTATACAAGATTCACACGACCGAAAGAAATACAAGCAGGCGGCGAGGGGTGCGCGGCGATGAGCCAGAATACGGATTCGTGGATGTCTTCTGGATTTTTCTCCGCGAGCGCATCATCTTCGCCAGCACCTGCTTCTTCTCCTTCGAACTCCGCTGCTTCCACCACCACCATTCACAACGACCTCGACAACAGCCGGGAACATGCTGCGATGGTGATGCAGACGGAGACGGAGTCTGCGGTGGAGAGGAGTCGTAAGCGGGCAAGGGTGATGGGGAGGGATAAGGTTGTGCATCCCGATGCGGGAGTTAATGCTGGTGTGGATGTAGAGGCTGCGCGGCCGCCGTATTTATACGTATGTATATGCGATCTATGAGACTGAAAGGTGGAAAGAGGATGAAAAGGATGGACTAAAAGCTGGACCTTTAATTTTTTTTTTTTTTTCCTCTTCTTCTTTTTTCTTTTCTTTTCCTTTCTCTTCTTTTCTTCCCCACCCCCCCGTGCTAACTTTTTTTTTTCTTTCCCCGCTCTTCTTTCTTCCAGTCAATGCTTGCGGGCGGCATAGGCGGGACAAGCGGCGACATGCTCATGCACTCCCTCGACACGGTCAAGACACGACAACAAGGCGACCCGCACATCCCGCCCAGATACACGTCCATGTCCTCGTCATACGTGACCATTCTGCGCCAGGAGGGGATCCGGAGGGGATTGTATAGCGGTGTGGTACCGGCGTTGCTGGGGTCGTTTCCGGGGACGGTTATATTCTTTGGAGTGTATGAATGGAGTAAGAGGAATATGTTGGATGCGGGGGTTAATCCGTCGTTGTCGTATCTTGCCAGCGGTAGGTGGATATTATTTATTTATTTATTTATTTACTTCCCCTCCCCGTTCATGCTCTCTGGAAATTTCAATTGAAGTATCCTGGGGCCGCCTCTTGATATGTCCGCCTAACAAGCATATATTAAAGGATTCATGGCCGACCTCGCCGCCTCCGTCGTCTACGTACCCTCCGAAGTCCTAAAAACGCGCCAACAGCTCCAGGGCCGCTACAACAACCCCTTCTTCCGCTCCGGGTATAACTACCGAGGCACGATCGACGCATTCCGCACAATCGTGCGCGACGAAGGATTCGGGACGTTATTTTCCGGCTACAAAGCGACATTATGTCGCGACCTGCCTTTCTCCGCGCTGCAGTTTGCGTTCTACGAACAGGAGCAGAAACTCGCGAAGCAGTGGGTTGGTAGTCGGGAGATTGGGTTGCCGCTGGAGATTTTGACGGCGACGACGGCCGGGGGGATGGCGGGAATTATCACTTGTCCGCTTGATGTTGTCAAGACGAGGACGCAGACGCAGCTGAGTCCGGACAGTTTGGGGGGGCCGTCGTCGTCGTCGTCGTCGTCGTCGTCGTCGTCGTCTGCTGCTGGTGCAGGCGCAAGTGCTGGAAAACATACGACTGCGACGAAACTACCGGAGCCTGGCAGATCGACGCTGCCACCACCACCAACCGCGACGGGGACGAAGAACGTCCAATGCCGATCCATATCGACATCCTCCCCGTCGACCTATACCTTGAAACCCGGCGCGCCGGTGCTGGACACCTCGTCTGTCTTTACCGGGCTGAAGTTGATCTACCAGACGGAAGGTCTTGTGGGGTGGTTCCGCGGTGTTGGGCCGCGGTTCCTGTGGACGAGTGTGCAGAGCGGGACGATGTTGGTGCTGTATCAGTATCTGCTGAGGAAGCTGGATACCCATCGGCAACAGCGGCGACAGGAGAAGGAGGAGGAGGAGCTGGGTGGTGGGGGGTTAAAGCTCTGATGCAATGGCTTCTGGTTGGTTTCCGAATCTGGCGCGCTGTTCTTTTTCTGGTGTTTGTTTCTGGATGTTCAGGGTCCAGGGATAATGTGTCGTTTTGGCATAGAACGGCGTTTATATATTTTTATTTTTTATTTTTATTTTTATTTTTTTTTTCTCGATTTCTGGTTCATATACCATTTCTTCCCACCATTTTATTCTTCTCTTTCTGTGTTGTAGGTATTTCTTGCTTCTTTTCCCACATCCTTCTATTATTCGAGGTATATCGGACTGTACAGTACGACGGGACTGGTGATGCCTATCTATATAGATGTGGATGGGTAGGAACACCCTGCTATCAAACCAAATTCACAGATAATTGACACATAGCAATACCCAGCAGATATCACACTGTAACCTCGTTGACTTGACTAAATTTCAGATCACTCCATGGAACTCGAAACCTTTAATGAACCGTATACGGCACATGTAGTAGGAGAAGAAGAAAGAGACACATGCGCCACTCATTGCCAGACAGAGTAAGTATGTAACTGCAACCACATTACATTTATCTGTTTACCCAAAGTCGATCTCCAACTGAAGGACCCCACTGTGGAAAAATAGAGTCGGGCCTCTACGGCTGCTCAAGAGAGAATGTTTCCAGCCTCTCAAGCATTCCTCTTGGGTTTGCGTTTTGCAGCTATTCATTCCATGGGTGGGTCAGACAACGAAACCAGTAAACAAACGAAGAGCCGTGACGAAAACACGCTAGTGGGGGGGGGGGGGGAAAAGAGTAAACAACAGGCGCCAACAGGCACAAGCCGCAGCAACAACAGCCGCAGCCTTCTTCCAACCGTTCCTCCAACCTCATCATCCTCATTCCTCATCCTCCTCCTCATCCACTCCAACCATCTCTCGCGTCATCCACACCCACACCCACACCCACCCACAACCACACACAACCACACACAACCACAACCACACCCACCCACACCCACACCCACCCACACCCATACACACACCCATACACACACCCACACAACCACACCCTTACCCCTCTGCATTGGATATCCCCCATCCTTAACTAAATACAATCGCATTCTCTACGCGACACAGATTACTCCATCAGCAACACCCCATCATGTCACCCGCGTTACCCTACCTGCGCGGCCTGCGCAAGAGTGACCTCGTCCTCCTGGCCGAGATCTCCAACCTGCAGGAGTACGTTATCCCATCCTCCCTTCTTCCCCCCCCCCCCCCTCTCTCCGGCGTGTCTCTCTGTCTGCGCGCGCATCATTGCCGCCAGTCCACACACAGCCACCTGCTAACAGGAGCCTGCCTGCCCTCCCCCCTCGCCCGCATGCAGCTACGAGGACTACAAGAAGACGGAGCTGGAGACGGCACTGGACGACCACCTCGCCGCCAACCGGGCCTCGCTGTCGGGCGAGCACCGGCTGGCTGACTACTACCGCCGCCTGTCGCAGGCGCAATCACGCGCATCGCCCGTTAAGCGGGAACGAGAGCTCAAGAACGAGCCTGCCACTTCCGGCGACGATGCTAGGAGGGAAAGAGCTGCCCCCTCCACCCGCGCCCGGCGGACCGTCAAGCCAAAACAGGAAACCGGTGCCTCGTTCGTTGCTCCCTTCTCCTCCTCCCCACCCATCTATGCACATACAACTCCTACTCCTACTCCTACTCCTACTCCTACTCCTCTACAGCACCTAACAGACCGACACACAACAGAGATGACTCCGACTCCAGTCTCAGCGCTTCCAAATCATCTCCAGCACCCATAGCCCACACCCCCGCGCGTCCCTCCATGCCCTTCTCCTCCCTGCCCCCCTCCCCAGCCATAATCACAGATGCCATCGACCGCCAGACAACCAAGGCCCGCCAGTCCATGTCGTACCTCTGGGACGCGTCCGGGCTCACGGAACGCTCCCACGCCGTGCGCGCCGCCCTCAGCAATGTCCGTGCCATCGAAACCATCACCGTCCTCATCGAGCTGTACGGCCTGCTGGCCGACATCGTGCCCATGCGCTATCTTACCACCGTTCCCGCGGTCGGTGCCGTTGGCTCCAAGGACTATATCCTCAAGGTCCCCGATGTCTTCGTCCTGCTCAACGCGTCGTTTTGGGGCCCCTTGTCCCTCTGGGTGACGACGAGTCTGTTCCTGCCGTCGCTGTTTGCGTATTTTTTCAATCTGAGCCTGAAGGTGTCGCAGCAGGGCGCTGCTGCTGGCGGCAGCAGTGCTAGCCATGGGTATGGCACGCGACGCACGACGACGACGGCGTCGGCGGCGGCGGCTGCCAAGGCTGCTTCCGGGAGGAGCTGCGGCGATCCGCTGGTGTTCAACGTCTCCAAGGCGCTGGTAGCGTATTTGGTTTACGCGAATAATTTCACGTTTTGGAACATGTTCAATCGGTTGACGGTGTTGACGGTTTCGCGGTCTGTGCCGGGGGGACTGCGGGGACTGTTGACAGGTTCGGCTATTGGGGTGGTGGGGAGTCTGTATGAGGCGATTCTGAGGAAGTGAGAAGTGAGGAGGATGAGGTGGTAGTGGAAAGCAATGGGAGGTTTGCTAGGAAACGCGAATATGTGAAGGCGGGGATGAAAAATGGATATTGAGAGGATGCTACCCTCCCTCGACTCTCGTCTGGTTTTTTTGGCCTTTTTTTTTTTTTTTTGATATTTTCCTTTCCCCCCCCCCCTGGTCTCTCCCTTTCACGGACACTACGTCCTGTTAGTATTGGTCTTGTCCCTTTTTTTTTTTTTTTTTTTTTTTTTTTTCTTTCTCTATGTCCTTTTCATTTCCTTTATCCGATCGACTGATCGCGCTGGAGTTTCTCTACTAGTGCGGCTCCTGCTGTCATTATCGTTGGCTTTTTGTTACGCTGCTTTCCCCCCCCAACCTTTTTTATGGCAACGGGAATGTTGGTGTTTTTGTTTGGTTTTTGCTCCCTTTTAATGTTTCATTTCATCCCTTTGTCCGTTTTCCTCTACATCTATCCGCTGTCCATGTTTCTCTTTCTCTTTGTTTCTTCTCTTTTACTTTTTCTTCTCCTGCGGGGAGTGGGTTGGTCTTGTCTGGTCTGTTATGGGTAGTTATGGACGATGAATGGTCTGGATTCAATTACTTATCGGCTTTTCCTCCTTTTTTCCAATCCCCTACTTTTTCTTTTCTTTCTTTCGATTTTGAATTATGACAAGGGGTGTTTATGGATTTTTAACCACCATTTTTTATTAGTTTTACTTCAGTATTCTTTTGAATTTTTTATTTTTTATTTTTTTATTTTTTATTCTTGGTTCTGGACATTCTTGATCAGGTTGGTATGGTTTCATTCGGGATTTCTTTTTTTTTTTATTTATTTTTTATTCTTATTTTTATTTTTTGGATATGTGAATACTGAGATGAGAGGTGTACCTAGGTAAGATATGCAATGGGAATGGTAAATCTGTGATTTGATGATATTGAAGGTGATTGAGAAGAGTGGGTGTCAGCAATGATAATCTCTGGCCATCCGTGTCAAGTATTACATTACATGATTAGACTAATTTATTAATGTTTTTTTGTCCGCGCGCACGCACTCCTGCGTAGATGAACCACACTTAGAAAATTTCTACATGGAACAACCTGGCTCAGTTTACTCTTGAACAAATAACAAGAGGAGATGAAAGGAGAAGGTAAAAAAAAGGCTCTATATCGGTTTTTTTTCTTTCCCTTTCTATCTTTCCTTCTATTGGTGTTGGTGACGGGTAGATAGGCGCTGTACAGAGGAGCTGGGGCGCATAATACAGGTAGAGGCACACACTTATAATACATGTAAGGGAAGAAGCTTCTGAGACGCGTTGTTGGTTTGACGTTTATGCTGTCGTTCTTCCAGAAAGTACCAGAGAATGAAATTGAAACGGAGGAAGAGGGGGGAGGAAAAAGACATCTAACAGAATTGAAGAATCAAGAATCAAGTATCAAGAAACACACACACACACACACACACACACACACACACAAAAATTACACCAAGTAGATGTCGTTTTGGAACTAGCTCGCCTGTGAAACTGCATCAAGGACTTTTTGCCTTTGGACAAGCGGCAGCAAGGGAGGAAAAAAAAAAAAAAAAAAAAAAAAAAAAGAAAGAAAGAAAGAAAGAAAGAAAAAGAAAGAGGTTGGGGGGCTTTCATGGAGTAGGTCTCTTGCTCTCCTTCCTTTTCCTCCTCTTCAGCTAACATCCATCCATGCATCTCTTCACCTTGGCACCCTTTCAGCATTCCATTCCATTCCATTCCCTTCCCTCCCCTTCGCTTCCGATTGAAAAACTTTATGATGAGGCTGGGGTTGTCGACTTTTTCGCTACTTTGGCCTTTTCTCCTGAGGGTGCGGGAGGGGTGGTAGTCGTGGCGGCGGGCTTTGCTTCCTCGATTGCTGCTGGCTTCCTTGACGGCTCCGAGCCGGAAGAAGCTGATTCCTCTGCTAGCTGGGCGTCGACATCTTCCTCGTCTGTTTCGGTGGGGTAGAGCTCTGGATGCTGGCGGAAACAGTTTTGCATGCCCCTGTAACAGCAAAGGGAAGAACTGGTTAGATATCAAAGTTTTGGGAAGAGGGGACATGGGAGAGGAGAGAGAGTCTTTGGGCCCAACTAGAGAAAAAATATATATATATAAAATATAAAATATAAAGATGAAAACTTACTCGAATTTCTCAATGCAATCCATCCCCTTCGGTTCCTCCGTCGAGTACACGAAGCAGCTGAACGCGGCTCTAAACTCTTCTCCGCACGGCCCGTGCGCCATGCCGCCTAGACATGGACAGTCCCAATTGATCTCTCCCGTCTCGGGATTGAAGGCGCCTTCGCTGCTGGCTTCTTCCTCCAGTTCCTCGGGCGTTAGAAGTGTGGGCGTAGATTGTGAGGGCGAGACTTCTATATCTGCAGCGGCGGAGAGATCGGAATATTCTGCTGGGGAGGAGGAATTGGAGGAAAAGGAAGAAGAAGAAGAAGGGGTAGAAGAGGGAACAGTGCTTGGGTCGTCGGGCGGTGCGGAGGGGTTTTTCGATCTGGCTTTGGCCTTCTTCGCGGCGGTTAAGGACTCGAGGGTTGGGAGGGAGGAGTCATCTTCATTCTCCTTTGGTGCGGAGGAAGCGTGTCGCAAGGAAACTGGGGCATGATTCATGCATACGGTTAGATACTGAGATAGTACTTCAGGCGGTAATGGGTGTATTATATGGATAGATGGTGTTTATATAACAGCCGAGGGGTGACTTGGGCTTACAGCTGGGTTCCTCCGAGAACACAGAGCTTGTGTTGTAATAATATACCGCGCCCGCAGCAAGAGCCCATCTCAACGCTGTGCCTTTCCAGCTCCTGGGCTTGCGCGACGGGGCCGGAGAGTCACTGCTTATATATCGTCTCGCTTGGGCAAGGCGAATGTGTCGGGGAGTGGGAGCTGAGGAGGAGGAGGAGGAGGAGGAGGAGGCTCGAAGTACAGATCGCGAGGCCGATCTAAACATTGTGAGAACAGGAAACAAGCAATAATATTTAGACAAAGACAAAAAAAAAGGATTCAAAGGGCTATTCAATGCAAAGAGAGATGCATTGAGTGGCCTCTGTCCTTCATAAGAGAATGAATTGGGGCTGGTCGGGGAGAATTGAACAATTTCTCTTGACTTTTTGCAATGTCGAGAATGTCGGAAGTCGGAGATTTTAGCGCGGGAGAGGATGGCTTATATAAGCAGGCTATTCGGATCTTCCTGGAAGAGAGCAAGCAGTGAAACTACCCAGATAGCTATTATCATCAATTCGCATTCTTTCAGCCAGGTCGGACGGTCCGAAAATGATGGTGGTTTAGCATGCTACGAGTGACTCCTTATTGGTGTCCGTTTGATTGACATATGAGAGAGTTGGTAGAGCAGACGGATGCCGCAACATCATCCGTCTGCTCAAAGGGTTTTGCGGGGCATATTTACATTTCCTCTCTTTTACTTCTTGATTAGAGCAGTAAAAGCAAACCGAATATACCGTTTTTCATTTTGATTAATTATGCCGATCTTGGTGTCAATAGAAGGAAAAAGTGACCCTGAGATATATGCTTGACTCACCGTAGCTTTGGAATATCTGACCCCGGGATGCCCAGCTCAACGATATAACTATGGGCCGTTGCTCTCTTTCTGTCTCTCTTCTTACGGATTTAGTCCTAAGTGGATTGCGTGACTGGATTCCTACTGTCCAACGGGCCCTCACGTCTTCTGGCCGACACCAAAACCTGGGATGAAGAGGTGCTATACTCTCAAGCATTGATATTGACATTCCAAAGAGGTCTTGCATGTGTGTCCTTCATGTAACTAAGGGATCGGGAGCAAATTCCCTTTTACTCACGGGTGTCGGTGGCATTGCTTCTTTGCTGAAATCCGGATTTCACGGACCACAATCTGTATCGAAGAGCGCAATGGAGAAGGGCGTAGAGATTTTCCGAATTGCAACATTCCAACGCCACTATCTTTCCCTACGCTCGGTTTCTTTCATGGGAGTAATACTCCTATGGCGTTTAATTCGGGGATTGATGATGGACACCAGGCGCAGTCGGGGTATGCAGCTATGCTCAATCCCACAATAATCTTGACGTATGAATAGCAGCTCTTTATGGAGCTATGATATACCACTGGAGGGTAATGCCTAGCTATATGGCAGCAGTGGACTTCCCGATTGAAGGATATAGTTAAAATAACATTGGAATGAGCCTCTGGACAGTACTATAATCACGATTGAAGTAGTAGATCTGTGCAGAAGAGTTGACTTGCCATTCATTCAAATACAGTGTGAGAGAAGTTGAAATCTGCGTAGATGTTCGCAATGCAGACTCCCTGAGTACACCACGTCTGATGCAAAGAAGTCATTTCCAATCCCACAAGGCGAATGTTTCGAACACTTTTGTTTCGGTTGATATGCGAAAGGGATTGAATAGTTGAAGCACGATGCGGCTCCAACTTAGTTTCAGCCTCAATCAACCGACCCCGTTTTCCTGTCCGCCTCAGCCCGAGAAATTTGTTTCATATAACTAGTTACTGGTGTGCATTGTTCCAAGAGAAATTGATATGGGTGGCATCGATTTTGGGCAGACGACGGATGAACCCGCGTCAATATAAATACATATGGGATCGTACATGGAAGAAACTCCATTCTCTCTCTCTCATCCTTATCCTTCCTTCATGCGCCTCGTGGTGTGTGTCTTGGGAAACCGCTCAGCCACAGTTTTCTCGGCGGAAACAAGGCCAACTCGAGCAGTGCGACGCAGCAAGTTCTCGGCATACGACCAGTCATATGGTAAAGTTGGATTGACCCGAATCTAAAATTATCAACCGAACCAGAAGTTCAGGGTCGATAGAGTTGAACCAACTCAGGTACCGGCATTGGCTTTCAGACATGACAATGTAAAAGACAGGCTCCGATTGGCCAAGCCAAAAGGGTGTTCGCGGTCGATGTATTGTATTGTGTCTGGGTAATGTGCGAAGCACTTTTGGACGGTTTGATTAGTTATTGGACTTCTAGAACTCTAAGAAGCCTGGTTCTAAGGGGGCGGCGAAGGAGCCTGGGAAATGAAGAAAAAGTGGTAACAAAAACAGGGCCCTAAAATTGGGAACTCCTTGCATGGAGATCGTAAGTGGTTGATTTGTGCTGATCTGGTCAGGTTCTTCTCCATTTCCTTTTTTTTTTTTCTTTTTCTTTTTCTTAACAACTATCTAGAATAGAGCCGTCCATTGTTCACTCTACCTTTCAGGACGGTCTGGCGGGGCCCCCCATAATGGATTTTCATTCCTTGAACCCATTTACTCCAATCTTACCGAATCTTATTGTCTCTTTTACTCTGTTTTTGGTGTGCATATAGTCTTAGTGATCATTCCGTAATCCGTCTCTTCGTTTTGCGGCCCTGGGCGTCTCGTTTCGTTCTATTGCTCTCTATCCATACGACGGACGATGGGGCAGCCGGAGGGTACCTCCAGGACTACGGTCGCCATTATCGGCTCCGGAATGGCGGGTCTTGTATCAGCATATCTGCTGAAGCAAGATCAGAGTCAGAATTTTGATGTCCAAGTTTTTGAGATGGTACGTTTAATGGGTTTTATTTCGATATCGGACCGTGTCTGGAAAAATATTTGATTTTATGTCGTGTTTTCCCCGATATCTTAGTTATAATTTGGTGTTTATTACGTGAAGTTATGGGCATTGCTTTGTTTCGTGCCATTGCAAAAATACCCCTTTCAAGAAAATCTCCATCTCTTTTGATGCTGAGTCTTGGAAGATTGCTGTATTTTTTTTTTATAAAAAAAAAAAAAAATGAAAGATAAAGTTTCTCTTTTCGTTTGACCTTTCATCGGAAAATGCGGAGATACCACAGCTATGTGTACCTTGCCTGCTGGATAACTTAGTGGCATTTTTACGTGGTTGGCAAACTCTTGAAATTTGGATCCCAACTTTTCAGGAAAACATCTTATTAACAGCTATGTTAGCAAAATGAACTGTCCCTCGATTCTGCGTCGGTTACAGTCCCTTCAGCAAATGGTAGAGAAGTACGAATTGATCTCCCAATGCGTGCTTTTGCGGGTGGATACTACAGCAATCTCAGGAGAATGTACAACTACCTAGGCGTGAAATATACCCCCATGCAGTTTCTATTCCCTTTATCGAGAGCTCCTGTAGTCAGGGACAGGAGCAATCTGCTTTCACCTCCAAATCAAGGAGATGCAGATGATCATGTCCACAGCGACGAAAGAGACGGAAAATTTCTCAGCTCCAAACCGTATTTCATTCATTCATCCAACAATCACCGCATTCCACCCATCCGACCCGAGCACCTGGGATTATGGGGTTGGGTGGCAGAGTCCATATATCTCGTTTTTTGCTTTGCATGGTATACGATATGCAGCTTTTTTATACCTCCGTACTCATCAAGAACCGACTACCGCTCTGCAACTGGCGCTGGAATATCGAAGCAGGATAGCGTTTCCGTCTCCGAATCGCTAGGTGAATACCTCCAGAGAATCCGGCTACCAACCTACTTCACCCAAAACTACATCCTACCCCAGTTCTCAGCTGTGACAACCTGCTCTCATGAAGCGCTGCTGAAATTCCCCGCCAAAGACTTTACAGACTATGCGACGCAGACACACAATGTTCCATACTACGTCGTGAAGGGGGGCGTGAATATCGTCCAGAAGAAACTGGCGGAGGGGTTGAACATCCAGCTAAGTTCACGGGTAGTTTCAGTGGAATTGCTATCTGGCTCTTCCAAAGTACGTGTTTCTTATATGTCCAACACGGACGGGACCATCCATCAACGAGACTTTAACCATGTTATCATGGCGGTCACTCCGGACGTTGTGGGTGCTATATTTCAACCTCTCAGGTCAGCTATGGCACAGGTGCCTACCATCAAGGTCGAGAGTGTTGTGCACAATGACACCTCTTCTCTCCGTATTTTATCACAAACTTCCGTTGGGAGCGAGGGGTATTTTCACCCGTCGTCAGCCGAGACACAAGTCATCCATGTCCGCTCGTCGCCGGCTGGGTTCACAGAGGCAATCCACGAATGCACTGCGTCCCTTCTCGTAACCACTGGACCTATAACTCCTATCGATACGTCGAAGGTTATCCATCGCACGAGCTTCACGCGGGTGCTAAGGACACCACAGAGCAGAGAGGTTGTAAATCGCATCTTTGGATACAACCCCATTACTTGCAGGGCATCAGAGAAATGTACTACCCAGTGGCGGAATGGATATGGGAATGTTTGGCTCGTAGGTGGTTGGTGTTGGGATGGGATGGTGCTTCTTGAAGGCTGTGTGGTGTCTGCAATGCGGGTTGCTGATGCATTGGGTGTTCATGTTCCGTGGAGAGATATGGTATAAGATGGATTGGCTAGGGTATTGTTTTCTTACTATCGTCAGTGTTGATGTATGTATTGATTCCTGTAACTATGTTATGAAGTCCTGTGCATGAGATCCCCTTGTGATTACGATTGGATTATTAGACCTGGTCCCATTCTACCCATTCTATCCATTGTCGTGTTCTAACTGCAGAAATGTTTTGTGAGAAAGAACAGAGTTGACTGAAGAGTCGTATGATGAAAATTTGTTATCACATATCGAACATTAAGCTGGGCTCTAAGGGCGTTCGAACACCCTGTGGAAGTCGACACCCCAAATACCGATGCAATTCTACGAAGAAATCGACAATGCCTCAAGATAAGTGACTTTTCACATTAGCTAGAAGCATGTGTTGCCTTCATCCACAACGGGGAACTTAAAGAATCTTTGCAAGAGAAAAAGTAATGTCTGCTTTGATTTAATTCCAGAGATGCATCTCCTTTGAGTTACGGATCAATGTGGTCTGAAAACAATGGGTCTTTCACATCAATTCGATGCCTTTGTTGCCTGCTGTCAATGTCCAGGGCAAGGTTTTCTGGCAGCTAGCTATTTGAGTCATCTGGCTAGTTATAAGTGGGCTCCCTTTTCCCCTCTAAATACTTCCTCCCATCTCATCGTCGCAATTTCCAATATTTAGCAGCTAAGCACCATTTTGTTGCGAGGTGAGGATTCACAGTTTGTTCCCTGCAACTTGTTCCGTACTGGACCAAATAGGTCAAACTAGGCCATTTACCACGGTCCAAATAAGCAGAGCATATTTCGAATATCTCTCGATTTAGATCAGCTGCCATACTCCACCTTTGCCTCTGTGAATATCAGTCTCGGTTTTATAAGCTTGCCCTTGATAGAACTTCCTATATCCGCAACTTAACAACGTTGCCACTATCTCCTGCGAAGGGACTCAGTTCAACATGGATACCTCTGATGAGCAAGCCAAAGTTTGGAAGGAGGCCAGGCAATAAAAGGTTCAACGGGATCGCGGATTGCAAAATTGGATTGCTGTAAAGCAGCGGGGACCAGGTCAGATCCGGTTTCCAGGCCCCGAGGAGGAGGAGGAGGAGGAGCTTATGGATAGTGCTGGTCAGGTATCGCAGCTTAAGGAAGAGAGCAGGGAGGTTGCGGCGGCGAAGAACATTCGGGGTAAATAAACATAAAATGAAACTCTTTGGAGAATCACTTACTCTTGCTTTCCATCTTTTGCACTTTTACTTTGTGTGGGGTTAGGTGAGGAATGAATATAATGCAGTATGATTCAAACTCATGATTTTCTGAAGTAAATGATTATAGATAGGGAGGGACGGAGTGACAACCAATAAATAAATTCAACGAGAAGATATATTCCGTATGAACAAAGGATATCCCAGACCTTTTCCACATATCTCATCCCAAAACCCAAAGGTAATCGTAGCCAATACATTATGCCGTTCCTTTGGACTTGCGACTCTTTCGTGCCCCTTTCTTTGGCTTGACGTCCTCATCGCTATCTTCCTCGGCATCATCGTCATCAACAACCTTCTTCTTGGGCTTTTTTGCATTTGGCTCCGTCGTAGCAACTTTGCTCTTTCTCGCCCCAGCTTTCTTCGGCATTTTCACATATTTATCCTTTTTAAGGTCAAGATCACTTCCATCGTCTTTAGTTTCCTCTTCACCCAAGATCTCCTCGCCTTCATCCGACTCATCAATCGCATCCTCAAGGTCAGGTTTCTCCTTGGCGACATGCTTCGGTGCAACGACACTGGTGCCCTTAATGAATGGCAGGGGATGAGATTGCTGATTATATAGGCGTGTGAAAGTGGCTTTTGTTTGCGAGTCGATGCTTAGGTTCTTCTGATCCATCGTGCCGAGGCCAAGTTCAACAATGCTATCCCAGTCATCGCGCGTGAGGAAGTAACTGTCCATCAAATCTATGACTTCCTCAACCGAATCTTTCCCCTCAATTTGTAACGGTCGCACCAGTTTGTTCCACAGGGCTGGCATATATTGTTGTCGGATCTCGTGTCGGTCCCCAGAAGCTCGTAGTCGCATGTGACCTTGTATTTCTTTTATCTGTCGTCCCATTTTACCTAGAATACAGTTCAGCAGTTGAAAAGAAGTATGTGGAGTTGGCTTATCAAGCATACCTTGTTTGCTATTATTTCCAAGCCAACTTGTAAATCCCGGGCGGTCTGTCATGTTCCCAGCCATGAAGCTGGCAGGCCTAACAAAACTGAATACTGCATGAGTTGGCATCAAGCTCCACTGCTGCTGCGTTCCATGTATCAGTCGATCCACCAGATCACCATCGCTGATACTCTGAGCTGCGTTGTCGGTTAGCTCCAACAACTTGAACCTTTGCTCTCTGCCCTGGTACGCGTTCGCAATTGATGGTCTTGTGTTGAGGTAGTTCTCCTGCACCATTAAGTAGCTGAACTCGTGATCATTAAAGTAGAGTTCGATCTTCTCGTTTAGTGACGTCTGAGAGCTTTGGGCGAACATTTGGGCGCTCAGAATTTTGCCAACAATGTCCCAGGGCTTTAGAATAACATGCTTTTCCCAAGCCTTGGACATCTGCTTTCCTTGGTCGTAGTCAAGGGTTCCTTGATCAAGTTTGGCAGTAGACAACATATTAATTACTTGTCTGATATCGGCATGCGTGCCTTGGATTAGACTATCGAGAACTTGTGGTGGAATCCTTAGCCCTTCACGATAACAGATCGTAGAAAGCCGTGCACGAATCTGGTCTACAGTCGGCCGTCTGAATGGTAGGTCGAATGTGACGGAATCAAACGGCCTCATTTTAGGAAGCCTTCGTTCGTTGCAGATTAAAATCATCGGGATTCGCGTCTTCTTAGCCACGGATGCAAGCGCTCCAACACCGCCGCGATCTCCGGCCGACATCCCATCGACTTCATCCATAATAAGAACCAAGTTCTTTTTGCCACTATCAACTTTCTTTCCTTCACCAGAGAAGTATCCCTGAAGAGAAGTTGTATCTAGCACCCCCCGGAGGCCTGTTTCTAGAAGGCCTTTGCTTCTAGTATCACTTGCGTTGGTTTCAACAACATCATAATTCTCAAGTTTGGCAACAAGATGTGCAGCTGTAGTTTTCCCAATACCGGGAGGGCCATGTATCATAACTGCGCGATAAATACCAGTGCCATCTTTCCCTCCCTTTTTGAAATCTGCCTTGGCACTGTTCCTCCAATTTCGAAGCCAAGATTGAAGCTTCTCCACAGCGGTTTTATTTCCGCAGATCATGTTAAGTGACGTTGGTGCGTACTTTGATGTCCAAAGACGATCATCAATTGCGGCAGGCTCTGGCTTATTTCCGCTGCTCACTGTCATTTTCTTTGGCGTCATAGAAGCTGCAGAGTGTTTCTTTTCTTCTCGGTCTATTTCTGCTGCCAGTTCCCTGATTCTTTGCTCTTCCTGCTTTTGCCTCGCGGCATACTGTTCGGCAGCCTTTCCATCTCCTCCATTCGCGGGAAGTCTCCTGATCAATTCGAATAAGCCTTCCTCGTTTATGGTTTTCAGTCCAAACTTTTTAATGGTTTCTAGTTTTTTGGGCCCTGCATCATCACCCAAGACGACATAACTAGTTTTGGAGCTGGGTCCTGTAGTAACCTTCCCACCATAACGTTTCACTAGCGATTGGCCTTCTTCTCGCCCTAATGAACTAAGAACACCGGTGAAGACAAACGACAGGCCAACGAGGCAATTTTCAGCACCCACGGGCAGTTCCGTTGTGCCAGAGTCGGCCGGATCTCTAGAACGCTTGGCGAAATTGAATTTCGTAGTACCAGATTTCGCAGGCGGAGATGGAGGGCGGACTGTCGGAATACTATCAAAAATATCCTGGACTCGTTTGCCTTCTACGCGGTCCATTTTTGCTGCCTTTGGTTTCTTTGCGGCGGGTTTGGAAGGGCTTTTCTGGGATTGGACACGAGAGGTCCTCTTCTTAGAATCAACATAGTCATCACTTTCATCCTCTCCGCCTAATAATGCATCTGACTTCCGTTTTCGTCCAACTGAATGGGCTTTCGTGTCCTTGGTATCTGTATTCTTCAACCTATTATCAGGTTTACTTTTCAGGTTGCTTTTTGTTGCCTTCGATTGGGGAATTGCAGCCTTTGGAGGTTCCACTTCCATATCATCGAAATCGTCACTGTCATCCTCCTCTAGGTAGTCGTCATCTCCACCCCTTCCTGTCTTTCGATAACCAGTCGCAAAAATATCATCATCCCCAAAATCCTCTTCGTCTTTGACAATGCGAGTAGTTTTAATGGACTCTCGTTTTGGTTGTGTCTTACCAGGTGAGGGTTGAATGCGAACCGGAATATCTGCTTGCTCATCCCGTGTCGCTTTTGGTTTAGAATTTGGTTTCTCCTTTAGAGCTACACCTGCCTTGGAGTCTTGAGTTTCACCAACTTTAATCTTCTTGGAGGACGCAAAATAAGCGGAACTTGTTGTAGGTTCGCCTTTCGGTTCTTCAAGTTTCCTAATTACGATTTCAGCATGTATAAAGCATTATCTAGGGCTCCCGGAACGTACTGTGGTATCCTTGGTTGAGCTTTTGTTGAGGGAGGCTTTTGCTCAAAATCTTCATCTTCATCACTATCCTCTACTACTTTTCTGCTTCCTATAGATCGCCAAAGGGGTCAAAGGTATGTCGATATTTCCGATTCAATTATCCGAAAGGGATTCTTACTTCGTTTCCTCGAGGACGATGCATCCTAAATAGAGTGGGTTCTGGTTAACAATTAGGTAAAACTATTTCGTTTCTCGGAAATAATTTGCCTCACAAACGTAGCATAGCAGTTATCATAAAAAACATACCTCAGTTTTTTTGGCCGGTGGTTTTGGTTTATTGGAACTCGTCGGCTGGCTTCCGCCAAAAAAGTTTCTAATGTCGACAGGCATTGCGTATCTAGCTCCTTTAACCGTATAACTGTAAAATGAAAACAAACAATTTGTCTCCGGCAGACGAAAAGTACCACAGAAGGGCCTATACAAACTACGGCCTCCAAGAAGCAAAGATGTTGAAAAGACGTTGAGAGAGGGTTCGGTTCGACCTCAAGACACGCCTTGCAGGCAAGTCACGCGCAAAACACGTGAACCGCAAATGGAGGCTTATGTAATCCAAAAGCAGAAGTGTTGAACTTCAAGACAATTTCCAAACCTTGAAATGACAATGAATGACGCTTTTACTCTCTAGAGGGACAACAGCTGATTTGCACGGCGACATGGGTCCCCGAATAAACATCTTTCAGGGACTTCAATTGGCGCTTTTGCGCCCCTCCTGTATGTATAATTACCCGATAAACCTCTGTTCCGAAGGGAATTCCTTGCGCAAAAAACTCACGCTTCTCCTGTATAACAGGCTCCACATTACCTGTTTCCACACGATGTTTCTCTACGACCTCCCCATCCTTCAACTGGCTAATGCCAAAATACGGAGAGAAGAGAAAATCGCAAAAAGGCCGACCCCGAATGCCAACAGGTGGTTCCTCCCGAGGAACAACAGTCATCTGGGGCGATTATGGCTTGCGGATGAAAGACCATGATCGACGAGTATCAGCGGACCAATTGAAGACGGGCTTCGAAACGATTCAGAAACGGCTCAGAGGCATGAGGTACAAATTTTATCCGAGGGTGGCCGCCAACATCGGTGTTTATACGAGTGGTAACGAGCAGCGTATGGGGAAGGGAAAGGGTAAATTTGATTATTGGGCTGCGAGAGTTGCAGTTAATCGGATTATTTTCGAATTGAAAGGGGATTTCCATGAGGAGGTTGCGCGAGAAGCGTTGAGGTTGGCGGCGGCCAAGATGCCAGGTACGTCTTGAGCTAAAATATTTTTCCAGGGAGTAACAGCCCGGGGAGCCACATGGTAGGGTAGCTGACCAGATATTCGTACAAGGACAATATGAATTCGTCAAGAAGGGTGACCCTCCTATGGTGGGCCTGGTGAAACTAAAAAATGGTGTCACGCTGGAATCTTTGAAAAGGGCGCGAAGAGAGGTTCCGCTGAATTCAGGGAATAATATACCCCCGCCTCTATCTGCAGCAGAAGGTTCCGCTCCAGCGCAATAATTCATATATATATATATATATATATTCCCATTAAAGTGCACATGTACATTATGGCGTTCAATATCATTACATCTCGCACCTTACTCCGAATAGAGTTGTTCATACCCTGCTGTGCTGCCTGGTCAAGATATTGTGCAAGAATTGCGGTATTTGGCAGACGCGTATAGGAGATGGATCTCAAGATTCAATAGACCGGGGACATATCGATTGATTTTCCGCAACTGGATTCCAGAATTGACATGGTATATTTATTGTCATTTTAATGCGAGAAAGATTTGAACTCTGACTCAGCTATTTACCCCAAAACGGGTTCCGACTCCCAATTTGCTAATCAACTCCCATTAGACACAGCGCCGGACAAGCCATACACGAACGCAGTACCAAACATGTGCAAAGCCTTAAAACTCAAGTCCCATCAAATAACTGTCATACTGTCAGTAAGAAATATATTTCTAGAAAAGTTTGCGCTCCAGTTAACTAACCTCTCGAGTACTCGCATAAATTTGGCAACAAACGCCTCAAGATGAAATATAACTTTCTGTAGCACGTTATCAGCATATATCCGACTGAATTTCAGTTCCCTTATATACATACACTTCCCAGCTTTATCCTATGCTCGTAGAAAGCTGACCACTTGATAACTTCGGGTTTCAATGCGTCATCCATTTTAGGTATTAGTTTGAAGGTCAAAGTCTGTGACTCATTAGAACATGATACGATAGGATAAAGGAATGATCAGCTGTACCTTAAGGATAGTTGTTGGAGGTATGCAGTGCGTTAAGAGGTCATATAATTTAGCTCGAACCTGAAGAATCCTGGCGGGCGATCGTTCGGCCATGATTTCATCTGCAATCACAGAGATCAATGCCTCCCAGTCAGGAGGTGGAATTGGCGTATCATCCGTCACTTTCTCGCTATTTCGGAAATGAAACTTGTCAGTTGAAATTGCGTATTTGCAGCTGTGGGAGCCCCGACTCAACGTACTTCTGGGCATATATAGCTTCGAACATGAGAAGAGCACGTCTCAGATTTCGTCCACTCTCTTTGGCTATCCTTTTATTAAGTCCTGGTGCCTCTGCCCAATTTTCCTTCTTTCCTGCAAGCTTTAGTACCTGACATATTTCAGCTTCAGTGGGTGCAGCGACCCTGACAAGGAGTGTTCTGGATCTAATGGGAGCGATGATATTTGCAGTGCTGTTTGCAAGTAAGATAACTCTCAGATTAGGACTGTACTTTTCCATAGTCCTTCGTAATGCTGCCTGCGCATCTCTCGTAAGATGATCTGCTTCATTGATGACAACGACCTTAAATCGCTGCTTCGCGGACAGATCGACCTGTTGCGTCTGGGCAACCTCCTTCAGAAGTTCCTGTACCACAACCCGATCGTAATTGCCCACGTCAGATGGTGTGATTTCAAGGTGGTAGACTGAGGAGACAATGTTGAATTCCAACTTGCGATTGGTGCTCGTTTGGAAGACTCGAGCGTCGATTTTGATCTTTTCGACACCAGTACCAAAAAGTTCCTTCAGCGTGGCGATTATTCTTGTCTTCTTCCCTGCTCCTGAGGGTCCATAAACCAGAAGGTGCGGAAAATCACCGCTTTGCGCCTGTGAATTCGCTCCAATAGTCAGCCGGCAATGAATATCATAATAGGATGTAGAGCCAAGTTATAATGCTCACAAGTGATTTCAGTCGAGCGGAAAGTTCACGGTGGTAGGTAAGAGCGTCGAGGCTCCTAGGCCGGAGCCTATCAACTAAAAGTGCCATTGTTAGTAGTAAATGGTGTGTTTGAAATTAAAATACGTATGAATTGTTTAGGTGGGTTTGATATTCAAAGTCTCCTGAGAAGAAGAAAGCGCGTGCCCCACGCGACTTTAAGTGGTGGTCTGTGCTCCGGCTGACTACTCCCCGCTCTTGGAGGCCGGAACTGCAGCAAAAACCATTATCAAATTTGAGATACCAAAAAAATTCAGACTTGATTCTATTTCTGAGGATAGTTTTGAGATGAGTGATGCTATTTATGATTCTAGAAATAAGTAATTTCCCAAGAACGCCACATACCATGCCCCAGGTTGAATCTGCTTGATCAAAACCACGCCTAGATATAAAGTGCAATATATATAAGAAAACACAGAGATTCATTTCCGCTCCATTCCAAAATGAGTTTCTATATATAGCTCTTGAGCCTGCCCGGAAACAAGTCGATGGTTCTGAAGTGTTTGAGTGAAGATTGAACGAAATGGGCTCAATTGCCATTTAGGATGGAGCGCACAGAGAGATCAAATGTGTCTGAAATGGGACACTTATCACCCCCCCATGTATAATAAGTGACGTTTTATTGCTCATCCCCGAATGACGGAAATAGAGATATTGCCCCCAAAAGCCAAAGTTTCGTGGAAATCACTACGCAAGTTGGACGCTGTCCCTCGCGCAAATAATTAAGGGCATGCTAGGGAGTCGCCATCCCTGGTTCTGGCTTCAGCACCCCATTTGAATCATATCGAGCCTCTGTAGCAGCATCCATTAGCGTCCGAATCATAAACAGAACGTCGGTAAAAAATTTCCAGACTCCAACTTACTAAAGAAGGTGTACGAGAGGGTAATGGTGTCAATTGATCTCATGGCAGGGTCATTGACAAAATCAGGGTCGATGAAAAAGAACACTGGCATATCAACCGATTCTCCCGCACTAAGTCGTTGCTCCTCGAAGCAAAAGCATTGGATCTTGCTGAAATACGGCGAAACCTGTGCGGGAGTCACGCTGTACGTGGCAACCCCGATGATATCATTTGGTCCCTTATTCGTTGCCGTGTAGAATGCCAACGCGGTTTCACCTGGTAGAACTCTTACCTCCCGCTGTTGGGGTGTGAACTTCCAAGGCAAGACATCGGACACGGATCCGTTGAAGGTAATTCGTAGTCGGCGGGAAGAGGTTACTGGTTTGAGGCGGGAGGCAGGGTCTTTTTCTGTGCGGAGGGTTTGAATGGGCTGACCATTCCAGCCGGTTTGCTGGCATATCTACAGCGCTCTATTAGGATGATGAGCAGAGGTATAAGAATGGAAAGTTCAAGTACCATTTTGTACATGGGAACCGACCCATATGCGAGAGCAATTGTTCCGATAATTACGCTCATAGCATAGTACCTAAAGATGTATTGGTATAAACCAACTATAAGAAAGAAGCAGAAAAACACTCACAAGGCAGATTGATTTCTTTCGTGTGACATCTTGCTCTGCATTGCCGGTGATAGTGTTTCTGGCTGCCGCGCTGCCGGCGCGGAGAAGGCTCGTTGAGGAGCATAGCGCTGCTGCTTACAGACAAATGAAGCAGTCGAAAATGGGAGCAGGCCTATAAGCCTTCGACTCCAGAATGGTGCTATCTGTGGCAACATAGTAACTCGATATGTGCGGAGGTGTGAAATTAGATTGAACAAAGCTCATTGAGAGAAGTTTTCGATGCAATCAATCCGGATCGGGTGAGATTTCACGTGACTCGGCTCGTTGGGCGCAGAAACAATCTGTGAGACGTCTGAATTGGTTGTATTGGTAGCTATCTCGGTATAAACTACTGTGCGGTGGCTAGTCTGTAATGGGAAGCCTAGGCTCCAAAGTGAGGATCAGCTAAATCGAACACGATAGAAAATCTTTCAAGTGCTGAATGGCGAATATTGTCAAGAGAAAAATAATATAAACTATCTAGAGCTCATCTTTTGAGCAAAAGTTTTACTTCCCTGATCATGAATTTCAATTGCTCATGAAACAAAGCCTAGGCTCCCCCACCTCGGAAGACCATGTTACTCAAGAGAGATAACTAATTTTTGTCCGGAGTTCCGTATCCTTTTCTCTAACTACTTCAAATCGAATCCAAATAACGTTAAGGACCAAAGACTGGGAAGCAGTTTCTCTTCAAAAGTTGAGCTTCTGAAACACCATTTTACCGCCCTAATCATTGAAAACCTGTCCCAAGACCTTTCCCAAGACGCCTCTAATCATTTCCGGCCGTTCCTGGATGCAAGCTAGCACTACTGCCGTGCTGAGCGAGAATACGACTTGTTCTCTCCATTGATACTGTTGATGGGGAGGAAAATATAGTTAGCAAAACAAATCGGCCCTTCTTTTGCCTAAATCAGGTAACGAATCCCCATCCAAGGGCTTAACGAAAATAAATTTAAATTCGCATACCTTCTCAGCGTATCTTCTTGGCAGCAAGGTTGCCGCAGCCTTCGGAGCCACAAAAAGCGCAACCTCCAACCTCTTCTTCGCATTCTCAACCAGAATACTCCATCCACACATCACACATCCGGCAGCAACACAAAGCCCGGAATCCCACATCATTGGCGTGATTCGTTTACGGCTGAATAATCTCGGTCCTAATCTCGTTCGCGCCAGGCAAACGGAATAGTAGAAAATGCTGATAAAGAAGCTAAGGAAAGCAGAGGAGCGGACGGCGTTTTTCGCCGCGTTTAAGAGTACTGCTATCGACCGTGATCTCCACCGCAACGCCAGTTGTAGCGGAAGGTACGTGGCACAGGCAAATTTGAACGCCTTGATGAACCTCCAGATGGCATGTCTCTCACAGCTAGGGCCGCAACCCATGTGGACAAGCTCGCACGGAAACGGGATTGTCTTCTCCGGATTCCCCCATTCACGAGGTAAGCCATAGTCTTCACACATGGACTGCAATGGCGGCTTGTTCTCTGATGGTTTTCCATACTCCCACTCGCCTCTTCTGGCGGATCGGAGCACGTCGATAAGCCGGCTATCAACCTGGGCTGCCTCCTCAATCCACTTGCAGTACGATTCGGGTAATCTTTCTGGAAGATAGAACCAGGCCCACATGACGATTGCGGAACTTGTGACAAAGAGACAAGCATCTGTCAGTTGTGGGGCTAGGGACTCCACGTGCGTCCATTTACTTTGGGACACTCGATGTTTCTGCCAACGAACCCATGCCATGCATACAAGGGCGTCAATTGCTCGAATAAGGGCAAAAAGACTTAGGTCAAGAGTCCTTCCAGCCAGACCAGGAGGGCCTGGAAGCTTTTGCCGGCTGCCTTTTGCTTTTAGAGTTACATCATTGATTGCGGCCTCTCCCTCTTTCTCGTCCGAAACGGAAAGAGGTTGTGCTACCCCCTTTTTAGAGTTGAGGATCGGGAAGCACAGCCACGCTGATAAAAGGGCTGCAAAAAACCGAATAGGGCGCAGTGAGCTCTGCGCCACAACTGGTCGAGCTTTGAATCGTCGATTAATCACAGCTTTGGTGAATAGAGGCTCAACAATGGCTGGTAATAAAGTTGACCCTCCAACGAGCAGCGCGCAAAATGCAGGGAATCTATTCCAGTGCAAGGCATCGCTTAAAACTTTTAAGAGCTATTCAAGAGAAGTAGCCAAACGTCAGCATTTCTCGGTTTGTAAACTTCATTTGTATACAGCTTGGTTGGATGGATCTAGAAAACAAAATAGATCACGGGACGCGGGATGATGGAATGAAAGATATCCTGACGCACACGGTTAAATTTATCTTCGTTGGTCAAATCTTTTCTGCGAAAAACTTTCAGAAAAGTTATAAGTTTAGGTCCAGTTACAGTAAGATATCCCAGAGCGTGGGCACGAAATATTCTGCAGCTCGAATCACGCCATCAGCTTCAAATCCATGGGAGGAAATGCATAACTGACGTGAAAGTGAACGCACACCAGTGACGCAAGTCATTGATCACAGCAGCTGGCAAGAGTCTCTACATACGGCTTGAGTATTTTTGTATTAAGTTTTCGGTGTTGAATACCGAGAAACTGCGCCTCCATGTTCTCCACTCATGGAGGGCTCCCCCTTTATTATAACTGCGGGATATTGACACTTAAAACCCCCAAAAATGCCCAGCTAAGATAAATTCCCAATTAACACTCACCACCTTTTTGGTTTTTCTTAATGAATATTTGTAGTTCCAGAGGGGTGGGAAGATCTCGAGAAAGCGTGGGTGATGGTGATCCGATGGTGTCAATGGGCGTCCCTGGTCCCCGAACTAAAGGAAATAAAATGCGTACCAATTTTGCGTTATCCGTCCATGAGCTGGTTGGTGGTGACCAATTGTAACAGGTAAAAGGGGATATTAACGCAATGCAGAAGCGTCATCCGCAGACTCTCTTAGAAATCAAACGTGCGCTATGTTGTGATGGTGATGTTCTTTCGCAGAACATTATTCCTCAGTTTCTCCCCTTTAAAAAAAAAAAAAAAAAGTCCTGAATATTCGTCCTGCGTCTGTGTGACGACTCTCTTTGACCTCGGTCCCTGCACAGAGATCTTAACTCTGTTATTGAACTGATCCCATGTAACTCCTCCGTAAAGTTGGTGGACCGCACTGCAGAACACCAAAACTGGAAGACTTACAAAAATTGGGTAGTTAGTTATTTGGTCAGTATCAAATTGAGAGCACGGAATCCGTAGGAGGGCCCCAGAGTGGTTCTGGTGATCAAATTTTTGGGGTAAAACAAAACGACGAGCGAAGTTGGGATCTTGGAAAAAGGCTGCAGGCATCCGTGTTGGGGTTAGACACCTGTAGCTATCCTATGGACCACGCTTATCCAAAAATGGAGGATTTCTTCCATGAACATCTCAATTTTGGTCAGGTTCCCCTGGTTGAGAAAACTTTCCCCAAATAAGGTTGAATTGAAATATTTCAAATGCCTAGTAACCTACACTCAACTCCGTAGTACTCATTAATTAAATTAAATAAATGACACTAGGTTCAGGGCATAATTAACCTTATGTGCCCCGGCTGTCTTTTTTGTGTAGGTTAAAATGCCAGACGTATGTTGCAGCCTCAGACCATACCTTCTCCCCCGCATTGCCGGGGAATTCTTCTTCACCGATCTTATACGGCAAAGGCACCCTGAATGCCATCTTTTCAGGTTGTGATTGTCCGGAGTTGTTGATATGTATAGGGATACACAAGTTGAAGCTTCCATGGAGCCACACAAGCTTGTTTGCTGTCTTGTTCGACCATTTTTGGAACTAGTACCAAGGTCGGGGCATGGCAACCCACAATGAGAAGCTACAAGCCTTTGGATTTCCTTCTCGTAACTTTCTAACTCCGTATACAAGATTCCCCTTTTTCGGGCATATTGCAATTCTGCCCTCATATCCTCCTCCTCATCTTCTGCATTCGAGAGGGTGATGAAACCGTTTAGGAGGGCTTTGCATGGTTTGACAGTGCTAGCATGCATTGCTAGGTGTTATCAGCTCGTCAAATTCAACATCAGGATTTGTGAGAGCATCTCCAGTAAGTGTGGGTTTCTGTCGTAGGCATTGTGCTTGCTTGATGCTATCGTTGCTCTGTTGTAAGATGTATTCTATGAATCCCTGGCTTGGTTAAACAGAGCGACCAAGAATTATGCGGAACAACATTTTTTCCGCGGCATAAGGTCAATAATTTTCCGTTCCCTAACAACATAAGTTTTCTCTTGCTTCCTGTCTTGCAAATTTGAACATTTGTCAGTTACAGTCCACTGTGCTCCAGATAGCTACCTGATGTTGTGGGCAGAGCAGAAATCAATCTTGATCATCAGCCTTAGACATTTATCGCCTGTATATGGTGACGATGGTTAAGGAAATCCTTGAGCCTTTTCGCATTATCAGTCGACGCAGGGTACCCCGTTTCTCAATCTGCCAGACCCCATTCCACACCACGTCTGCGGGTCGTTCGCAGGCCTGCTACTCCTCCTTGTCGTGTGAGTTTGCTACTGCTGAAAACATGCAGTTCAGCAGTGTTAATCTGATACAGCGCTGAGTTTGGACCATGAATTTTTTTCGTTTCACGCGTGGCCGATTCATTCAAAACGAAGCTCATGAAATGGCGCAGCGATACATCCACTTTGACGTTGAGGAGTTAGCCCGTGTCTGAGCGGCGGCTGTTGGTGCCAAATCTTGCCTTCAAGTCGAGAAGTACCCCTGATGGCATGTACAATAAAGCTTTTCTGCTTACTATGGACAATGGCATGCAAGCCGTGGCGAAGATTCTTAATCCTAATGCTGGCCTTCCTCACCTTACTACTGCCAGTGAAGTAGCGACAATGGAATTTGTACCTATTTATTCTTCACCCCAACTACTGAGTCTCTGTTGATTAATTGTTAATAGGTGCGCAGTGTATGCAAAACTCCTGTTCCCAAAGTATATTCATGGAACTCGAGACCAAACTCTGTGGGCGCAGAGTATATCATTATGGAGAAGGTTCATGGCGTGCCGCTAGGCTCAGTCTGGCCTCACATGGAAATCGGGGACCGCCTCACAGTAGTAAAAACTATTGTTCAGTACCAAGAAGCATGGATGTCTGTTTCATTTATTCACTTTGGTGGCCTGTACTTTGCACAAGACCTCAATGGATATAGGCATCAAAGCATGTCTTACGAAAACGGAGGGGCCACACTATTGGATGAGAGATTTGTCATTGGGCCATCCACAAGCAGAGAGAAAGTTGATAATGGGAGGAGTACCATTCAATTTGACCGTGGTCCATGTAAGTCCCTCCATTACGAGTTGTGAAACCCTCAAACTAAGAGAACATAGGGTCGACAGTGCAAGAGTACCTTACAGCAATAGGCCATCAAGAGATCGCCTGTGTGAAAGCGCTTCCAAATTTGCCTAAATCACCAATTGCGCTGTATGGTCCAGGGACGTACCAGCTCACAAGAGCAAGGAAACTCAGAGCTCTAGAGCTCTATCTCACCATGATCAAATATCTCTGTCCAGTTGACCAATCTATAACATCATCATGTCTCTGGCACGGTGATCTCCACGTCGAAAACATCTTAGTGGACTCTAAATCTCCCACAGAAATTGTCGGAATCATTGACTGGCAATCCACCGAGCTAGCTCCATTATTTCATGCATGCCAGCCTCACCTTCTGGATTACTATGGCCCTCAACTTCACGGTCTCGAAAGGCCTAACTTGCCCGAGGATTTACTCAGGCTGGACATTGAAGTCCAAAGGGAAGCCAAAGCTCTGTATAAGAAGCAAGCCTTGTGTTCATTATGCAGAACATTTGTCCATAGAACAAACCCACGGCTATACCGCGTGCTAGAATACAGAGAAAGCCCTAGCTTTGACCTCTTACTCCTTGCTCGAAATCTTCTGATCGATGGCGAAGCGACCTACCTCGCTAGCATTGTTGAACTAGAGGGCACATGGGCAGACCTTCCTGGCGTTGTGACCTCAGAAGGCAAAGATTGTCAGTACCCTTTCTACTTTTCTGATGAGGAAAAAGCAGAGATTGAAAGAGATGTGAATGGATCATCACTCGGTATGCAAGCAATGCAGAGCATCAAGGACAGCCTTGGTGATTTATTTCCAGAACAAGGCGTTGTGAGGCCAGAGCAGTATGAGGAGACTAAGGATGCTGTGTCAGGCCAAGGAATTCATCATACGAGAATTTGCCCGAAACCAAAATGAAGAGAAGGCGTGGGAGGAAGAATGGCCATTCAGCAGTTGATGCGAAGATTACATCTCTTTTAGGATCAAGATAGTTGGTTGGGTGAAAGGACAAATGTGATATCTAAAATGCTGATGCAGAGGCTTGTTAACTATTGGTTCATTCTCATTTTAGTGGGATTGAGATCTCTCAGGTTTGATGCTGCCAAGATGCTCTCGGAATGGTGAATGCCTGTTTCTGGTGGCAAGGCAGAAGATGTGATTAGTTGGGCTGGCTAAGCCTTGAAGCGTCAATGGCTCCAAGCACGTGGGGAGCAGTCGGGATGATAGGCGGGAAGTGAGGGCATGCAGTTCATACGCTTTGACCCTCGTGGGGGGTTGCGCCGGGAGGTATATTTAAGGGGGTGCTCGCCAGACGTCAGTCCTGGTTGTCCTTTCACCATCCATCCACCTATGAACCCCATTCTTGGTAAGTGATGCGGTGCTCCTGATATACTCCGCGTGCTAAAAACCGTCGTGATTGCCTCACAGCACACCAGCAGAGAATATCGAACCTATTAAATCATTGTCATCCGACAGAATGAGCCGTCAAGTAGTTGACTCCCTCAAACGGATCCGGAACTGGGTGTTTGCTGCTCCTTCCCCGGTGATCAAGATTGCGACAGGAGAGGGCATTGCCGGCACCCGAGCGGCCCCTATGCAAAGCGGCAATAATGACACAAGCATCGGCGGCCGTCTTGACCATGGCGAGACCTATGAGAAGGGCGAAAAGTGATATAAGCAATATAAATTCCAGATAAACAAAAATGCTGACAATCCGACTCTGAGACAATTTGCAAGCCAAGACAGCCACCGTGTTTGGGCCCAGGCGGACCTGGAAATAGGTGCGATACCTGACAAAGAAGCCGTGGAAAAGCTATTCGATGATATGCAATCGGGCCTAGAGCGTCCGTAGTATGGCAGCTAGGGATATATGCAAGCGCATGCCCTGCCAGCATGATTCTGGGTTGCCATTCTTTCTTTGCGTTTTTCCGTGTGATGATGGTTCATGGGAACGCCTAAATGGAAGCCAGGTCATGTGATACGTGGACTACCAAATCGTCACAAAAACCTTTGCTGCTGTCTTGAGAAGAATCATTAATGAACTAATAGAATTGTGCACTCCTTTATATGAGCATAATTAATTAGTCATTTAAATCCACTGATTTGTGATTCTTCAGAGGGTTCAAAGAAGTGTATGGAATTTTACGCATTCAACGACTACAATTTTAAGACAAAGATAGAATATATCTAGCTGCACATTTTGCTCTGCCTGAGTGACATAGCGAAAACATTTTTTTGCGCATCCTAGTCATTTACAAGAATCAGTTTATTGGCTTGCATTCTCCCATTTACTGCTGCTGCATGTTGATTCCTGGCGATGCTTCCCTTGCGGGGAATGTCGACTATCGCTGCTGCAGGTCACTTTTCGTTCGCTCTGGAAACTGCTGCTTGGTCTCCCACCAATGCCAGCCTCGCCTCTTCAGATCCTTTAGATGCGCATCATCTTCCCGAGTCCACCGAGGCCCTTTCATGCCTGGCTCTCCAAATCTTTTATCCTAGCCCCCCCCCCCCCCCCCCCCCCCCCTTTCAGCAACAACTATAGCTACCTCTTTATTTATGATATATCCATGGCACCTGTCCAAGAATCTCTGCGGAGCTCCAGGAGCTTTTGAGCAAAGGCAGACACCAGTGCGGAGATGTCCTCTGGGGATAATAGCCGTGGGCCTAATGTCTGCCCGGCGCTGCTGCCAGGCACCACCAGACTGGAGCATGTGCATTGTCTAGAGCCCGCACGAGTGGAGCTTACAGAGCGCTCTGTGACGGGCTGCTGATTGTACGCTGTGAGGCTTCCACTTAATCTCTCAGTGATCACTAACAGCTCATGCAACCTGATGCTGAGGCTGAGGGTGAGACTGAGATTGACATGAGGAGATAACAGCAGACTGAGAAGAAAGTTTACAGTGCTTCAATAGTTTTATCACTGAATCACTGTCATCACTACCCGCGGTGTAATCTTTGTCGGAGTTACCACAGGGGCTGCTCGTGCCACTGGTGTCTGACTCAACCCCACCATCATTGCAGAGTTGTGTGGGGTTACCTGGGGAACAACAGCCATGGCTCTCTAAAGTTTGACATATTGATTTCCGCAGGGTCTTCTGTTGACAGATTCAGAGGGGGTGCTGTTTGCTTTGGCATTTGCTCCTCTTCCCCTTGAGGACTAGTGAGCTTTTTTGGTGATCAGGGGAGAGGGCTGGAACCACAACTGTGACCATGGACTCCATGGACCCAGTATCAGATCCGCAGTGCTGTGCTGTAAAAGGGGATTGGCATATCACCCTATGTTACAGGAATCAGCCGCGTGCTTATGTTGATTTGATCCACTGAGTGAGCCAACAATGAGGAACAGGTGGAATCCGCACTCTCAGTAGAGGATGCGAAATTCACCTGCGCCGTAGATATCTTCTTGGTACCAGGCTCTGCTACTACCATCGCCATCAGTGTATCTACAAACACGTGTCAGGAACATAGGCCTATGGGAAAAGGAACGCAGCACAGACTTGCCTTGACTGCCACATGACCATTCTTGGTTCTGTGATTCATCCTGCTCCTGGTTCAACTCCATCAAGTGTATCTGCTGCTCTGAGCCAGTAGTGGATCTGATTCACTATCACCAGTGAGATGCCCTGGCAGCAAAGTGGGTTGGATCATAATAGAGCCTGGGAATGACTCCAGGGCAGTTGAGGTTTCAATTGTTCTGCTACTGACCTCAATCCTCATTCATCCTGAGAATATCTAAAAGGTGATCTGGATTAGAAATGCAAGAAGCCCAGAACACTCAATGCCCTTGAAAGAGAAGAAAGTAGAATATAGAAACCACCTATCTTTAGGGCTGAATCCTATATCATGGCAGCGCCGCCATGGAGTCTTGTGGAATGAATGATGTCACCACAAGAAATTATGTTGGTGATTGAACCCATAACAGTCCTGCTTTTTAAGACTATCTGTAATTCTATTCTCTACAAAGGCCTTGTTGAAATCATTTGGCAGAACAGACTCTGCCTGATCTTGGCTGCTTGCGGCTTGTCTTGAAGTGTGCAGGAGGGGACACTTGTTAAGGGGAATGGGATGAGTAGAGGATGTGACTTCAATAGTGCAGGGTGCATAGGCTGTGTGTCTGGTATGATACAGATGAAGGATATGGAAGGGAGTCAACAAACCTAGGATACACAGGAAGGAAGGGAAATGAGAGGGATTGGGGAAAACTGGTGGTTTGAGAGAGTGTGTTGTGGATGTAGAGTACACAGGGTGAAAGTGATCAGGATAGGTGCAAAAGGATTTTGTGTTTTTGAATGAGAGAGTGTATAGTTTTTGATGAAGGCCACGATGTTTAAAATAACATCTATCTGCACTCACAGGCTGTTTTGTTCCAGCCTGCAAGTACAGAAGGAAGAAGGCCATCTATATAGAGGATTCAGGAGTGTAGTACACACCAGCTCAAAAGCCCAGTAAGATTGTTAGAGTTTCACTGTGCTCAAGAAGCTGGTGCTATTTTCTGATCTAAATGAGATAGGTGCAGCCTCCATGCCTTCTTGCCTCCTCCCGGCACAAGAAACCCTCTCTTCCCAACTATATTTGAAAACTGGTAGTGAGCCCATCTCAGAAGCCCCTGGCCTCACACCATAAACTGACTCCATGAAATGCCAGGATGTATCCCAAGGAAGAAGCAGGCAGCAACTATGATGATCATAAATCTGCCAGACCAGCCCCTGCAGGTACCACTCAGATTAGCTACAACAATCTAATGCATCACAGATATGAGGACAGAATCAAATCACATGCAAACTCTAGAAGGGGATGCAATAACCAGCAGAGAATGATGTTATAAATCATACCAGCTGTGATCCTCCAGCTTACATGGCTCACTAACATCTCATCCTCTCATACTTCATCCCTAGCCACTTGAACTAGAGAAAATGGAACCTGTCACTCCTGCAGGGCTGAGGGATACAGACATGCAAGAGATCTAGAAAATTCAAAAGAGCAAGAATCAATAGCTGTCATTAATCTTGACTTCAGCTCATCTGCATGAAATACTCAAAGAACTAGCCAGCAGCAGCGTTGTGGCCAGGTCCGAAGATCATATCATTACTCTCTCCCAAAACAATAGAATGCCATGAAAGCCTGCTGCAGGATGATAAGGTCATAGGACAACTGATGCAACACATTGCAACCCCAAATCTAAATCAACATGTACAGCTTCAGGGGGGGATTGAGATCTTTTTAAGCATTGACTCTCCAAAGCCCAGCAATCTCCCTGCCCCGATGTCAAGCGGGAAAGGAAACAGAAAGAAAAAGAAAAAGAGAGAAAGAAAGAGAGAATGACCACAAGCCTCACAGTCAAAATGGATGGTTTGAATTTTAAGAGAGCATGAAGAGTGACAATCAGAGCAGCCAAAAGAGAGAGTAAACAAGAAAAAACAGTAAACCAGAGAAGGTTGGCTGATCAGGGGTTAACTATAGAAGCAGTGCTGTAGAGTGTAGGACCTCGAAATCCGTGTCTGGCAGCAGTTCACCAGCGAAACCAGGAAGTAGGGAAGTCTGTTAGGTTAGCTAATTGGAAGGACCCGAGACTGGGCGGGGGGTTTGTTGGATGATCTGAAGTCTGGTCCTGGTGACGGCAATTACGGGGCCACCCGCTCTTGGGTTACTCAGGCTGCCACCAAGTTTTCATCCACTAATATATGTTCATATTACAGGTTGGCGTGGGCGAAGTTGACACCGTAAACATCAGAAAACTTCGCCCGGTGTAAGTCTTCGCTAGTGACGGCTTTGGGCTACGGCTCATCGGCTCGACGAGAAAATCAAGAAATTGGGACACAGAATCGAAGGGTCCGCACGGAGTCCCGTTCTTCAACCGGTGGTCATAGGCAGCTGTTCCCCGTGCATGATCCAATCCAGCCAGAATTTTGGGGGTAATAACCTGTGTAGCTGCTTGAAATAGGACTTCAGCTGGCTGAGAGTCACCCTCCGCGCGTCCTCGCTCATGCCCGACCACGCTTTATCTAAACTAATTCCAGGCATCCGGCTCATCAAAATCCAATACTTATCACACTCACTAAACACTCTGGCCTCCAAGGATTCTGGGAATCGGAATGGTCGTGTGTTTCTGAACAAAAAAAAAAAAAAAAAAAAGGCCATCGCCTCCAGCTCTCTCTCGAGACGGAGGCAGGTTCCGTACTTTCGAATGGTGGAATCGTTCTCGAACACGACTCGCATTCTCCGTGCGGAAGTGGGGCCATACGATGCCATTACGGTTCGATAGTGGTTTTGGAAGAGAATTAAGGGACAAGGTGCCGGGGCCGGGTTTCTTTCACATTTTAAGGTTATGTTATCACATATGAAAGGTTTGATTCAACTATCTAGCCTATCGGCTTCTATCTGAGGTGTGGGTTACGTGCTACGGCTGCTGTGCCGCTGCGGCCGTATGCGGGTGGGGCCGTCTGGAGTGGTTATTGGTAACTCCGTAGCTAATTATCTCGGGGATGCTATTACTGTGGAGCTGCGCTAGTCCATAATCGGAGAATGGGGCTCCAACAGATATGGGACAACATTTGAAAGCTCTGTGTTGACCCTCTGGCTAGGCAGCAGCCAAACCGGACAGCTTGACAGAAAGGCTGATTGTTACCTGACATAGCTACCCAATAGGTGGTGCTACGACCAAGCGACCCTGTCAAATTGTACGTAGCTGATTGATTGAATTGTTCGAAGGGATCCCGCGAGTGCGGCCCTTGGATTGGGGTTTTTTTTGGGTCAGGGGATTCTGCCACAAGGCGGCCAGTGTTTTAACGCTAGTCTAAATACAGTATAGTCATATTTGACTGACCCCCCCCCTTCTATCGAAACCAAGCTCCCCAACATTCTAATCCTCGCAACTCTCCGAAGCTATATGTGAGAGAGAGAGTCAATGCACCCTTTGGATCGTTGTATCAAACACCCTCCTCTTGCCGGATCAGATGGACCAACTACTGCCGAATTGAAAATGGTTGGGGCTGTCAGAATTGGAGATAACCACAGTGCCCAGCTGGTTACTGTTTAAATCTTTCGTACTTCGCTTCCGAAATGTGCTGCCGACGGACACAAAATCTCCTTGCCAAGATTTATGACCATTCTCTACTTCGATCATTGAACAAACAAGATGATGCAGACCCTTTTCTTTGTGTTGACCGCGATTATGCCAGTGAGACTGCCGTATACCTCACACTCCCTCAGCTCTATTACTTCGGCTGATACGCGCTTCAATGGCCAATTGATGGTGGAACTACCACGCGCTTGGTTCGACTGATCCTAATAGAGCTTGTTGCTGGGACATCCATTCAGCAACTGTGTCCCGTGAAATTCTCACAGAGGGATCGTCATGTTCTTATGAAGGCTGTAGTCGATGCTGAAACATCGCTCTACACATGTAATGTCCGGCATGGGGACATGATCGTAGGTGAATTCGGGCCATTGACCAACACTATTGATATCTCCCCAGCTAGAGTTTGGGTTTGTGGTATTCGGTGTCGTGTTGGTATTTTGGGTTGGAAGACTCTAGTAGGTTGGGCTACCATCAGGTAGTCTAAAAGAGCCTGGTTGTTGGCCATGGTTGCTACTTATTTTTGGATAACTAAAGAAAAGGTATGTAGTTGTTTCTCCCACTCTTGCGGAGAACCACAAAACATCTTATAGCCAAACACTGTCTCGAAGAGCCACACAATCCAGGAAGACAAAAAATGGGAATATTACTCTATCTTGCCTACTGGCCTCAGCCAGCAAGCGTGTTAATTAACATTTTGATCTCATAAATCAACCAACGGGCCGGGCCGGGCTGAACTAGCAAAGATACACAGAGCACCACCTCCACCTAGAATTTCGCCACGCCAGCTTCCCGGGCGTTTTGACTCAGGCCAAGGCGGTTTTCGCCAAAACGCGCCATACATATTGACAGCCACTTATCATGCCCAAAACCCCAGAGCGGCACAAGCAGCCAAAATTTCCAGAAGTAACATCACATGAAAACACTGTGCTGTTCTGCAGGGATGGCAAGGTGCTATTGCAACACTCTACAGTGATGAAAAATGTCCTGAATGGCTATGAATGAATGATTAAATCATGCCAGTGAAGTTCCTGGTGACTTGATCATGTCCCAACTAAACATGCATGGAGTCTGTGAAATTAGTTGACCAGAGTTGAAACAACTCAGGTGCTAGTCATAACTCCTCAAATTAAAATTATAGGAGATTGACCTGGAAGAATGAAGAGTGGATCTTTTTGCAGCATTGCATTCTTCATGCATTGAAAGTTGAAAACAGATTGCATGACCTAGAGAGAATCAATGTGAGGAGTGAGCAGTCTTGTAAGGGATATATAAAGGGACAAACTCAGAAGATACTTTCGACCAATAACTCTAAACTGAATCATGCTCTTCTCGTTCCTTGGGGCTGGGAAGCTGGCAACACAAGGTGCAATGTGCTCGAGATAGGCAGGGCATCCCGCCCAATTATATTAAAGATCTCAGGATCGAGGCGGCGAGCAACCGAAGGGGCACGACCTATTGAACCAAATACGGTTGAATCGGGAAGCACGGAAAAACGAACAGGGATGGGTTACAAGGGAAGTTCGCCATCGTCCTAGACTCTACTGTTGTGCATGTGGTAAGAAGGTCGGGATCGGGGTAAAATGTCGAGCATGTGGCCATAAACGGTGTCCAGTTTGCTACAATAAAAATAACCTGATCAAGGACAGACGGCGTAAGGAATCAAAGGGAAACTTGGCGGCATGATGGTGGATGGGTCCGGCGGTTAGTGAAGTGACTGCAGTAATTAGCAAGTATCTGAATAGGGCTATGTCTAAGAGCAAAGTTTTTAAAGTATAGTAGTATCTTTAGAGATAAGAGATTATAAATTTAAATAGAATGATATAGATGAGTAACAAAAAGAGGAAAGTCCGTTTACAACGGCCTAGAGTTTTGCATCGAAATCCTCAAATTCACTTAGGTCCACGACGAGGGTCGGGCCGGCGCTGACTCCGAGACGGGCCTTGAACTCAGGAACGCTGGTAATATATGTCGGCGTCTTTGGAACAGCTTTGATGATGCAGTTGTTGCTGGCGCTGTTGGTGGCCACCTTTCTTTCCATCGCTGGGTGAAGGCTTGCCGCTAATGGTTTGCAGTAAATCATCCAATTCATCAGTAACCGGTCCGACGATGTTGTCGACTTGGCTTGGGGAGGACTTGACTTCTGACTCCAAGAAGGTTTTGATTTGGGAAGCAATCGCGTCCTTGGCCTTGCAGGAAATCTCTACGTCGTCAAATGATGTCTTGAGCTTGTCGCTGTCGAATTGGGTTTCAGTCGAGGCTAGGATGTTCCTGAATTTGTCGACGAGCTGAGTCTTTTGTTCAGGAGTGGCTTTATGAGCACTTGACTGCGCGTTCATGTGGATGGACAGCTTGGATCGGGTCGAGGACTCGGGATCGATATATCGGCGATAAAACTCTACCATCTGAGGCTTCGTCAGAGTCTCGACATCTTTCTCGTGCTGGACAAAGTCAAAGTAACCTGAACCGATATGGGACCAGTAATGGCTCGTTTCAGAATTGAGGTTCGTCAACTTCTCCAACTGTTTGTTGATGATGCTGCGCTTATGACCCTCAAAGTCTTAGTCCGACATGGAGCCAAGAGCCGCTGCGAACTGGGATAAGAATGCATCAATTCGGGATTCGAGGTACTCATTCGTCTTGTCACTCTGGATGGTGACACAATAGCCCAACGTAGTAGCCGCAAAACGGGCACTGCTCCACACGACATAGCCAAGCTGCTCTTGCGTTCGGAGCTGGTTAAAGGCGGGCTCACTCGTGAGCTGACTGAAAAGAAGGGACTTCGCACGCAGGAGAGGATCCGCAATACTGCCCACGAAAAGATAGTATTCGATACAATTGTTCACGTTAGCGGGATCCTTTAGCATGTTCTCAAATATGTAATTGCTGCCAGGTGGGATAATTATGTTGCGTTGGACATGCCATTGAGAGTTGAGGTAGTGGGCGCGCTCTAATGGTAGATTCGACCAGATCAGTCATTTTCAACACATCTTCTTTGTATAGATTACCATGCCCAAGAATTTCAAGATGTGTCTGGCGAAGCAGCTGAGGGAAGAAAGAAGCAACATCATCTGCTTCAATGTGCTCCAACTCAGCGGCAAGCTGCTCATTCCTCCAAGCCTTCTCAGCAGTAAGATAGCGGGTGAAGTTTCCAACCTGGTAACAGGGCAACTGGTACTCCGCATTCCAGAACGCTTTGGACATTCGCTCTTTGACAGTCCAGAAACGATCAGGCTTAACTTTCAGGTCCCTCATGCTTAGCAGGACCTTTTCAAAGAGGACCGCCATCTTGTCGTTATAGCCGGATACGGAAATCTCGAGGCCAAAAACGCTGGTAGAGAGATTGTAATCAAGACCAGCCAATTCGGCATCGTACGAATAATCTGAGAGTGAATCCCGAACCAGCTCACAGAATAGTCTAGAGCTAACATTGGATCCTGGCGATGCATATACGAATGGGCTTTGAAGGGTTATTTCAATCAATCCCTTGGGAACCCAGAAGGTATCATCCTTCTTGAACCATACTCTAACCATGTCGTCGTTCCTAATCATGGTAGGCCTCTTGGCAGGCTCAATGATGTCCTTCTTCTCAACGTCTAGCCGGGTAAGAACAAACTCATTTTTTGTGCGGCAGATGGAGTTCAGGACAGGGCTGGTAGGATGAAGATTTCAGAATATGGCCAATTTCAGAGAGGATGTCACTGGGAATGTTTTTGACATTATACTCAGTGCTGTATCATTTTTCCTTGGAATCCCAGTTTCCGGGGTATGTCTGGGAAATGGGCTTGATGTTGACATTGTCTGCCCAGAGACAGTTGAGTCCACAAGAAATCAGCTCTGGTTCAAATTTACAAAGACAGATCAAGGTGCTGAGAAGACATTCCCACAGGTAGGGTCCCCGCATTACACTGCTGAGGCTGCTAGTGAAATGGCTTGCTGAGGACTTTTGCTTGAATTTGAAAATTCACCTCTGCAAGGTTCTTCATTTTGTCAAAAATTCATTGTTCAGAGGCTGGCTTCTTTGTCAGTGAAATATACTTGAATATGACTTTCACCACTTCATAATAATTTGCCAGGCTGTCTTCAGGAAGACAAACAGATACTGTGAAGAAGGCAGAACCCCAACAAACTGCCATGGAGCCAGCAGAAAGTTCATGTGCCCATTCTTTGGCCCTGATGTAAGCAAGAATGCTTTCCAGGTCCTTCATGGCTGATCAGATGGCTAATATATCTTGACAGCTGGGTATTGAACATATCTTCCTCATTCTGATATCTGAAGTAGATGTCCAAGCTCTGGATATTCATTACAGGTTTTGTGAACACCTGTCATCCCATATCCTCAAGGGAGAAAGGCTTGACATCATCCCATTGCAGCTTGAGGAGGTTCTTATTTTCCACATCAGCAAACAGTTCAGCAACCCAGCTTTCAAGCTCATCCAATGACTCCTGCTCAAGGACCACAAGCTTCATTCAGTTTGCGGAATAGTGGGTTTCATGGAATTGCATGAATTTGGCACAAACATCCACGCCATGAGATTGAGGGCCATCTCTTAGAGTTTGCAGATTTCCAGTTGAAAAATGATGATACAGATGCTTGGGATTGGAAAGAGATTTGTTCAACTGTAGTAGCCGACAGGAATCAGTCTGTAGATTTTTCTTATTTTCTGAATATAGCTCTTAGTTCTCGGTCCAAAGTAGACTTCAAGAACAATGGCGCAATGAAGAACTGCGCAAATTGATCAAGAGCCCCGTAGAGCAGTGGGACTAGGTCATTAGACAAGGCCGATGCACTGGTGGCAGGAGTTGCGACATCTAGCTAGGAAGGCCATCAGTCAGAGGTTCAACTGGGGGGAGGCGCAAGCATCAAAGGAGTAGTGGATTGTGTGCTCTTGGGCGAAGTCGAGGTGGCAGCTACTTCAAAGTAGCAATTCATCTCTGTCATGGCGGCGTATGCATTAAGAGTAGCCAGCATGAGCTTCGAGGTACTGGTTGTAGGCATTCTCTTTTGGGTGCTGTAGGAAGGCAGGTTAGCTGTGAAAATTTGGTTGCAAATAAGGAAACACGGTTCACCTTTTGGTTCCCATAAAAAGGGCATGCTCTACGGCATGAGCGATTCCTGGCAAGTCATCATCGTCAGAGAAATTGCCGACGTTAATGTTAACCGACGCGCTGGCCTTATCGGAGTTGGGATCATGAACTAAGAAGGCATCCAACTCATTTGGCAGGCGGATAACGCAATACAAGCGATCATAGACAACGGGCTTCTCAAGGTTTTCGGCGATGCGTTCAACGGGAGCCATGGTATGCGGTTACCGGGGAGAGGAAGGGGAGAATGAGATAGCCGGCTGGGCAGCGGAAATCTGGAGGAATAGAGGGAATGATAAGTAGCGCAGGCTGGCAAGGAAGTTCACGATGGGAGAAGGCAGTGGGGAAGACATCAAACTTATACTCCTTTTGCTGCGAAGTAGGAAAATAGAAGGTGCTGGCACACAAAGGGATGGAGGGAGGCAGAGACTGTCACTGAAGTTCGCAAATGGACCGCCGCGCCGCAATGGGAGGCAACCATGTTGGGTGTGAAATCTCTGAATGGCTTACCTGCCTCCAGGCGAGCAAGTTGAGCGGACAATCGCATGCCCCCATTGCCTCTTATGATTAGCCGATGACGGATCCAATCTGACTCGCACATCTTCCCCAACGGTAGTTGAAACTAACGCGAGGAGGAGCCTTTTTACTCGTTCACGCACACCACCTGGCACTGACAGGAGTTGTTTGTGAAATTTGTGGTAAGTAGACTTAAAAAGTTCTCCAGCTGTGTGATGCTAGCACGGGATTTGACAGGGATATAACCTGGGCAACGGTATTTTTGTCTGCATGGGCGGAGCATTCGATCTGAGAAAATGTTAATGGTTGAGGCTGGTAACTGCGCGACGCGAGGAAATACTGGTAATCCGTCTAGTCCGGGATCGATTCCCCGCAGTCCATCTTGCAGGGACCATGGCTCGACAGACCGACCTATTGGCTGGAGGAAGGTGATATCAAGGGCAAAGGTTGGGCGTGGCAAGTCTCTAGTTCTTTGACACGGGACTAGTTTGTTGCCTTGCTTCGTCCCTGTGTTGGAGCATTGCATGTATGCACCATAATTCCTATCATCCTACTCAGGCAGCAGGGCATGAGGCTCCGTCTCCAGAAAGTGATATGGAATGGATGCACTCTGTAGGTTGGCTCATTCGGCGCATGGAGCACCACGGATTTGAACAGATAATCATGGCCATGCCTGTTGCGAAAAAGTTCAAGAAATTCATGACGCTATATCTGAAGCATGCTCACAAGAAGATCTTGGCTGTTAATTTACAGCTTGACGTTCACAAAAATCACTTCTGATTGGTTAACCGGTCCTCCACTTAAATCAATTTTTGAGCAAGTTGGTATCGACGCGAGGATGCCGGATGTGATTTCAGCCTGCTCGCCGCGTTTGACATATCATGGGGATTTCCCGTCGGGGATGCCAGGCCAGACGGTGAGATCGCCAAGCTGGAGTTGATACTGGGGTCCTTTGAAGCATGAGCTGAGGGCTGGAAAAGCGGCATGTGATCGATCCCCCCTTCCCATTATTTTTTCGTCCCGACACATCGAGGCAGCAGCAAATGACAAGTCAAAGAACAAGTCTCCAAGGGTCGGGGAAGAATGGCGCTGGTTCAGCTACGCCGCAGTTGGGATTGACCGCCCATTCCCACGGGGTTCACTGAGATGAGGCGTTTTTGCCATTGGCCGCTGAGCTGGAGGCACATCCGAAGCACGAGAGAGGGGTTCCAGAGGAATAAAGGGGGACTGTGGATGGGGCTGACCAGCTGACCGGCTGCTAGTACAGGAGGGGAATTTTTTTTTTTTTTTTAATCACATGTATCACAAAGAGTGGAGGAACAGTAAGAGGAGCAGAGGAAGGGAGTGGGCAAGGAAGTGTTATATTAAAAAAAAAAAAGTCCCCTAGGCGGGTTCGAAGGGGCGTTCTTCGCGCAACGACAATATCAGGGTGATGGACGGGTGAGCGAGCACGGGGAAGAGAGGAGGCAGTGCGCGTCAGGGACAATTGGGAGATGGGAAGGGGGGAGACGTCAGGGGCAGAGAAGACAAAGAAGAAAGGAAAAGGATGAAGGGGGGGAGATAAGGACGCATCGAAGCAGCTTTATATAGTCGCGGCAGATGACGTCGGCGAGTCGACTGGGAGCACGCCATACTACAAGGGGCCACGCCAGGCCGCAGACGGACGGCGCCATACCAGATGGGGCAACCTACTTCTAAAAAATATATTAATATTATATAAATTTGTATTTATAAAAATTTTTAAAAATAAAATATTATCTTTTTATTATTTATTATTATTATTATTACTTTTCTTCTTCTTCTTTTTCATTTAAGATGTGTTTAGTTAATAACTATGTCTATCTAGTTAAACTAGTTAGACAAAATACCACAAAAAAAAATTTAATAAAAGTAATGTTAAATAAATAATATATTTAAAAAATAAAATAATATTTTTAGTTCAATATCAGTACTTGTATAAATTAAATATCAATTTTATTTAAGATTAAAGTTCATTCTTTAGAGGCAATTTTTATTTTCTCTATAAACTTATCAGAAAATTTCTTTCTAATTTAGTATTAAAAAAAAAAATTATGTTTAACTGATTAATTGAGTATTTTTCATTTAGTTTTTTTCTAGTCTTATTATTCAATAAGCAATTTATTAACATATGATTTGAATTTTCAATTAAATAATAGAAATCACATCTATCAGAGTTTAAAGAGTTTCTAAATCTTTTCATATATGATTTAAAGTAGTCATATCAGAGTTTCAGTTTTATTATGGAAGAAAAAGTTTTCTTTTTATATTTTATTAATGAAGACTTTCATTTTGATTTCATTTCACATCTTATGTATTGAGTACTTTTCTTCTCTATTTATTTATTAAAATATGATTTTTTAAGTCACTCTTTGAGTTTTAGTTTTAATTTTTGCTGCTAGATCTACTTTTTTATTTTCTAAGATATCTACATAAGTAGGTACTTAAAATAAATAAATATAAATATTTTTATTCTTTAACTTAATTCTTTTTACTATTTTTTAAATTAATTCAAGATTTATCTGATTATTTTAAATTTTATATCTTATGAATCTTTTCAATATTATTTAATTATTTAAAAATATCTAAATATTTTTTAACATTTAATTTCTGAGAGACAATATTACTAATTATTATAAAAGCTTTTTGAATTGCAAATAACTCAATGTTAAAAACCTTATACTCATTTTCTAAGTTTTATAAAAACATCTTATACTCTGAATTTAATTTAAAATATATTAATATTATACCAACTTTTAACTGTTTTTGTTTACTTTTTAAATTATCTAAGTATATCAATAAAGAGTTCTTTTCAATAATCTCTAAAAGTTTCTAAATATATGTAATTTTTTTCTATTCTTTTAACAATTTACTAATAGTTATATCTATTTATTAGTTTAGTTTTTTCTTTTAAGAATAAAGCTTATGATTTATATTTTTTATATTTAAATTTAATAAATAATCTTTAATTATAAAATTTTTTATATAAAAACTATAATCAATAATTATAAATTTATTATAATAAATTTAAAAAAATTAATATCAATTTTATTATATTATTTAGACTTTAAATAAGCTAACTATATTACTAAATATATAAATATATATAATATAGATAATTAAAGCATTTTTCAATATAAAAAATTTTTATTTTTTATTTATTAATTTAATTTAATAAATTTTAATTTTATAAATTAAATATTTAAAAAGTTTAATATTTATAACTTAATATTATTAATAAAATATATTTTAAGTAAGTTTAAAAAATTATAAATAAGTTAAAGTTTTTATAGTAAACATTTAATAAATTATAAAAATTAAATAAATATATAAAAAAGTTTAAATATATAATATAAAATTAAAAAAATTAAGTTTTAAAAATATATAAATAATTTAATTAATTTAAATTTTTAATTATTATTATATTAAATATATGATTATTAGATTACTTAATAGTTATATTTAATAATTAAATATATTTTTTAAAATTTAAAATATTTTTTTATAGAAGATTATTTACTAATAATTATTTAATATTATTAAAAAGAAAAATAAAATAAAATAAAATAAAATAAAATAAAATTTATATTATTATATATAATAATATTACTAAAAATATCTAATTTAATAAGTAAAATATAATTATTCAATATAAAACTCAACTTTTAATTTTAAAAATATAGTTATATTTAATTGAATAAATTACTAATTATAATTAAATGATTTATCAATTAATTTATTAAATAAATCTTTGAAAAAATTAATATAATAGATTTATATTTGAGTAATAATCTTTTATAATTATAATTTTTTATTTAAATAATTTTTTTCTCTTTTAAATAAATTTATCTTTTTATTTTATAAAAAAGTATTAAAACTATATTTAATAGTATATTTATTATAACATATTTTCCAAAGATTATAATTTAGTTATATATATTAATATTATTAATTGTTTAATTTTTTTAAATTTTTAAAATTTATATATATTTTAGAACTCTCATCAGCTAGAATATTATATAAAGAGTTTGCAAAAAGTTTTTTATATATAGAATCTCTTTAACAGCTAATTTTTTATAATAAATCAACTTGAACAGACTTTCTAATGTCAATAAAGGATAAATCTACTCAATGATAAGAAGTTAAAATTTTCAAGATTGAGAATGAGTAGAGAATTGAGAAAAAGACAAGAACTAGAGCTATTGTTAAGGTTCAATTCTTTTTGAATGTACAGCAAGATCAGAATCAAATTGAACAGCTCAATTAGCATCTTGAGAAACCAAATTCTGATTTGTTAAGATGCATCTCAACAGCAATCTTTACCACACTACAGTGCCTGTCATAATGCTGACCATATAATGAGAAGCTGTTCTAGTAGATAATAATCTATTTCTACATTCTATTGAATTACTTTTTTGAAGTTGTGATTGGGAGGCTTCAAATTTGAGTGAGGTAGTTGAAAAATTCGCAGCTTGGTAGTGTTCGCAGCTACCGGTTGGTTATGTTAAAGATATAGTTATACATTTAATTTTATTTTTATGACGTTGGTAAAAGTGATATACTCAATTGACTCTCACAGGTGGTTTGGTGATCTCAATCATCAAATTTGGCAGTGTTGTGGGCGTGCTCCTGAATACAGTCCTAACACTCCCTAGCTACAAGAGACGAATTCGTAAGAGAAGGAAAAGGATGGAAAGGGTGGAAAGTTCGTGAAGGTGAATTTGCAAGAATGAATATAGAGTGTATAAATTGGGAGCGGAAGGATAGTATGATCTATTGTACGACTGGTATATGAAATGTTTGATTGCAAAAGAAAGCACTAATCAGGCTTCAGGCCATTACAGTATTTAAACAAGGAGTCATTGAGAATCCATAGTCTGTAAGGAGGTTTATATTGAATAGCATGTGATTTTCTTCGGTGTTTGTGGATTAAATACTTAAAGTTGGACACTGAGATGAAAGGAGCGGAAGTGCGGATCCCTGCTGCTGTTGCCGGGTCGCCTCCCTGGCCGGCATACAAATCCCAATACTGTATGCCCCCTTCAGGAATCGGTCTCAATAGGCCACCAATCTAAGACCGCTTCCAGATTTGCTTGGCCCATGTCGCAGATGGAAACTATCCGCAGAGGACCGCCTGTCACGGTAACAGGCAATTGCCGCCGCAGATGTTTTCCCACCACGATGTCCTCTCTGATCACCACCTGCTCGTCCCACCTCCCGATGGAGACCTTGGCCTTCGGACATATTAACGGTGATTTACCACTTTCACCTCATGCTTCGACTTCTGAATCCGCCAATTCACATTGTAGCTGAGGTCCCCGTGACTCTCCATGAACCCGGACTCGACGACCAATGGTCATTTCGCAGACCTTCCGCGAAGAAGGTTTTTGGGCTGCACGGTGTAATCTGCCTCCCTGTTCTCGATGGCAGCTGAGCCCATGCCTTCCAGCTCTGCAGAGTATCTTATTCCCATATCTCTCACCTTGTCGTATAGGTTGTCGTGGAACCACTCGGTGGCAACTTCATTAGGGAGTCCGGGCATCTTCGCTATAAGCGGCTTGGATTTGGGAAAGACTGTGATTTTCCTGCAGCCCACCCTCTCACAGTCATCGACAACAATTCTCTCAGGGACATCAACAAATACACGGTCAACAGTGCGGGCTGTGCTGCCATTTGGGGCATGCTTTCATATTGATAGACAGGTGTTTCCTTGGGCAGGCAGGACAGAGCAGCTTCGGCCTCAATGTCCTAGTAGCACTGTTCTGGCTCGTCGCGCTGCTGCTGCTGCTGCTGCTGCTGCGAGTAAGTGTGGATAGTTTGAGTCGCCTTTTTTTTTTTAATTTATTTATTTTTAATTATTATTTTTGACCACCTGTTAATCAAACTTGTTGTATCCAGTGAATACAATCTTGCATCTCAAAGAAGAACTTAACAAATCTGAATGGAAAAAGGGGCATATAAAAATGTAGATATGACCATTTAGCTAGTTAATTGGCAGAGAGAGACTGCCTGTTCATACCCACAATCATCAGAAGAGAGATTTTTTGGACATAAATTTGATATGGCATAAATGTCATTGGGGAGCAACAGGATTACTACATTGCTTTTGAGTTAGTTAACATATTAACATTATATCCACAATCAAAATGGGCAACCCTAATCGAGATAGTGATATGCGAGTGCGTAAGAGCAAATTTAGTATTATTATATTCTGTTATGACAATGAGAGTACGTAGGCCTAAATGGGAATGATCATTTTCATTGGCACAACGTAATCACGTGATTAATGGCTTAGTTCAACTGTGAGAGTTAACTACATAGTTAAGTTTCCTCTAACTTTAAGCTTATATCACTAGCTCAAGTAACTAGTCACGTTAGTTAAATTATCATCAATGCAGATGAGCCCCAATGTTGGACGTCATGATGACGACGGTACTTTGCCAACAAGTGTCAACCCAATGATGATATTATCCACTTAGGACATTTTTCTTCTTATACTAGCCATGGTTTTCAAGTCCATTGTCGACTTTCTGGAGAAGAAATTGGCATTCAGATTCGAATCTGCTGAAAATTACAGTCTGGCACAGGAGCTGCGCCATTGTCATGACGGACTCTTTGGCAAACAGGATCCCCTGGATTGAGTGGACCATATTATTAGCATGGACGTGGAGAGCCCATGAAATATATCAGTAAGGAATTTATATGAAAGAAGAGTTGAAAGCTTTGGAAGAAAAACAAACAAAAATAAATAAAAATAAAAAGGGGCAACTCTCACTAACTGTAATTGAAGATGCAGATACAGTGTCAAAGATGCTGAAGGCAAGAGGTTATAACAGCTCAATTAAGAACGTTGAATTCGGGAGCGAAATTTCTCTCTTCTCAGAGAGCTGCCTGGACAATCCACGGAAGCGAGCATATGAAAGTTACAGTATACGTGCGATACAAACACAGGCGTCATTTTGAAACCTTCTCGAGAAATTTGTTGATCACAATACATGTAGCGATCGTCTTGCCCGCCCCTGGGATGCCCCTGAGAAAAGGAACATGGGAACCCAACCTATCGCCTTCCACCAGTCAGCTGGCAAGGGATGATCTGGAGTATGAACTAGCGTTCTCAGTTCAGTCAATGCACAAACCAAGTCCTTATGGCAAGAATGGTGAGGATTATGACAACCGCATCCTTCGCTGGCTTGGCCCGATCTACCAGTGCAAGTCTCCCTTGGAGCGTGCTCATGATGCTTTGCGATGCAATACAGGCGCATCAATCTCTTTATCTAGATGCGAACATTGTATATCAGGATATTTTAGAGAATAACATCATAATAACAGATCCAGAAAAGGCAAACGGTTAGCAGACGGTTATTCGAGCATGCTCATCAGCCATGATCTTGCCAAGGAGGTTGGTAGCGGACCGAGCGGCGCACCAGACTAGCATAATGGAGTTAATGGCGATTCAAGAGCTACTTAATATTGCTCATATTCATCGGCATGATCTTAAGTCTTTCTTCTACGTGCTTAACTGGCAGTGCGCTCGCCATGATTGGGAAAGATTAAAAACAATTACAGAAGTTATCTCAGCTATGTGACTGGCCCAAAGATAATATGCTGTAGCAATGGTACGCCGGAAATTATGAGATAATAAACGCAAATATTAAACAACGCATGGCAACTGGTGGATTTAAGCACATCTTAGCATATCAATTTTGTCCACTGACAAACAGCAAAAAGTCTGCTGACAAAGCAGTAACTATACTGATTTTTAACAGGGACATCACAAGAATCAAGTGAAGCAGTACAGGTGCGGACAGGTTTGAGGATATCTTGTTTGAGTTTCCCCAAATATTTGAGTGTGCCAAACGTGCTCTGCAGAGCTATAACTAGTTATGAGACATACTTTTTCCATATGGGAATAGATGCATAATCATTGGCACCTGGCAAGACCCAAATCGTTTATATAATCCCATTATCGAGGCATAAGATGATGTGATCACTGAAATTAAATCTGGAGAGTAATTACATCTAGACGTACTCAGGATTACTGCAAAAATATCTTAGTTTTTCAGTAGTCGATAGTTGCAAGCAATATGGTAAGTTTGTCTTAGCATCCTTGGTTGAATTATTTATTGGTGACAAATGTTGATACAAAGGTACCAGGGAAACACAGTCAGTCCAACTAAAATTCAAATATTCCTTTAAATAATCTTGTCTGATGAAAAATATCAGAAAGAAATATAATATTTTTTATTGAAAAATAAATACAACTTTTAATAAAGTTGACTTTCTTATTATTCTCTTTGTTGGTCAGAGTTTCCTTCTTTAGTGCAGTTTCAAATAATGTAAAATAAAAATAAGAATTTAAATGGCTCAGCCAATAGATTCTCTACACTTTTAATATAGTAAATCTATTGACTCACTCATAATATGTTTCACTTCAAGACCCTTAAACAAGACTCAATTTAACACATTAAAGATTTACTTAATAACTATAGATTAGTTAAATTAAATTAAATAACTAATACTAAAATTAAAGTATTTTGTTTTATGTAATATCTAATACACTGCAATTGTTTTATTTTTATGATATTACTATTGATTAGTTAAATTAAATTAAATAACTAATACTAAAATTAAAGTATTTTGTTTTATGTAATATCTAATACACTGCAATTGTTTTATTTTTGTGATATTTATATATATGATCTAGACTTCTTTGATAGAGATATAAAAAGTTAAATAAGTAACAAACTAAGCTGATAAAATAGTAGATGAAATAATAGACTCTGCAGCTGAATTAAATCATTTTCACATTTTCAAAAAGTATGATATTTGAATACAACTTTTATAAATCAAATAATAATTTTATTAAAAAAATTAACAAAAATGAAAATAATATATATAAATCAGAGTAAATAAAAAATAATCTGATAATAAAAGTTAATATATACTATTTGATTAAAAAATTATCAATTAAATATTATTTTATTATATTGTTTTCTTCTATTAAGAAAATTGATCAATAGAGTATTTAATATAATAATATTTAAATATTTAAAAAAAATTAATTAATTTATATTTTATAATTTAATTAAATACTTATTATGAAATATTAATTTATTTATAAATTATAAGTTTATTTATAATATTTTTTATTAATTTTATTAAATTATAAGTAATAATAAACTTTTAAATAGTTTATTGATAAAAATTAAATATTTTATTATAATAAATTTATTATTATATATATATTTTAAAATTATAAAAATATATTATTTAATATTTATTTATATATTTTATATTATTATAATTTATAATATAATATATTAAAAATTAAAAAATAATTTAATAATTTAATTATATATATAATTTTTATAATTAATTAAAATTAATCAAAATTAATTATTAATATAAATATATATAATTAATAATTATAATATTTAATTAAATTTAATTTTAACTTTAATATATTTAATATAAAAATATATTTAATATATAAAAATAAATTAAATATATAATTATAAAATTTTATTTTAAAATAATATTTTATTTTTTAATATTTTTTAAAATTATATTTTTAAATAAAAAATTTATTAAAATTAATTTTTAATTTAATATAAAAAAATATATTTAATTAATTTATAAATTTATTTTAACTTTTTAAATTATAAAGATTATATTTACTTATATTTTAAAATTTTTAATATATTATAATATTTAAATTTTATTATATAAAAAATAAATTTATAGTATAATAATTATATTAATAAATATAATTTTAATATTTTTATAAAATAAAAAATCATTTAATGATAAAATTGAATATAAATTGAATATAATATATTTTATTTAATTATAATATTTATAATAATATTTAAACTTTATATAGTATTTAAATAACTGATTAATTTTAGTTTCAACCTTTCCCTAACCCATGGTGTTGGAGGCCGGCGAGGTTGAATAGAAAATATTATTTAGTAATATGTGTTGTTGTTGTTGTTGGTGTCTGTCAACTCTCTATGTGCAGAGTTGATGAAGTTAACCGATCAATGGACTTTAAAAAAAAAAGTGGCCCCACTTTTAAAACCATGTTCCCCAACTGGAACCCCCCGAACTGGGGAATTCCGGAGCGGTCCAGCGGGGCACGAATCCACTCTTCTCAAAGAGGAAGCTCGGAGATTCAGTTTCTCAGTTTGCATCAAGGTATTTTCATAATAAGCACGTAAGCACTTCCTCGCTCATGAAAGGCAGCCTCCCCTTTCAATAGCTAGCTATATCCCTTGTATTTCGTCTTGACAGAGGTGATGATTCAACAGGATTACGTTCCGGGTAACTTAGTTACTGTTGTCGGTCGAACCTCTTGGTCGGTCTTTATATGAAAGTTTCATGCGACCCAGTCAAAAACTCAAGGTATAAAACTATATATCATCAATACAGTGCTCAAGGATTGGAATACAGTCCAGTTTCGCTGCATGCCACATTGCAGCTTCATGATCAAAAATTAAGAATTAGAAATAAAATAAAATTATATAAGAAAAAGGGGTTTTCAGTCAGGGGATTGATTGATGTTTGAAAACTTTCAGAGTGAAAGACTAGTTACATCCATTTCCTCAGGTATTTAACCAGTAGCACCACACTATGGAAATTTCTCTCCAAGGGGCAAAAATGCCAAAATCACCAGCCAAGCACTATAAAGGCCCATTTAATTAAGTCGATATTTGGAACAGCCTCTCTTACATTCGCTGTGTTTTCCGCTGCAATATTTTCATATAGTTATCTCTACCAGGAGGGCGCTAGGGAATTCACGGCCACTCCAAGTTTTTGCCATCCTTAATCTTCGAGCCAGCATCAGACATCTTTACATTGCTGCTTTCAATCTGGGAGGATATGTGGGAGCTGATGCTGAGTCTAGGTACAGAGTTGGAATGATTATACTATATAAGCCTTCTGCAATTTGTACAGACGTCTCGAATCGGGGGCAGTTGGTTCTTCCTCTCTGAGGCTCTGCACGGAAGCAGTTAGTTGCCGGCGGAGCGGATACAGCAGCCAGCCAGCCAGCCAGCCAGCCAGCCAGCCATTCCAAACAATGCCGTCCCCTTGAGGCGGAGTATACCCGACACTATGAAGGCGATGCCTCATTGGTTTGAAGATCCTTTGCTTGAATTTCAAACTCCGTGATAGTGAAATTTGCTCAAGGTATATATGCCTAAGAACCGTTTTTTCTTCAAGGGTTAAGGACCAAGCTCAGCAGTTCCATAGCTCTGATTCTGGGACAGAGACTTTAATGTAAGGTGGGGGGGAGGAGGAAAGGGGGGCCGGACGACTCCACCCGTCGTCGGATTCATAGATTGATTGACAAGGGGGAAACCTCATTCCCGGAACTCTCATCAGAACTGTTGGAGCCAGTCTCTTGGGCAATACACAAGAGCACAGTGCGGTGATTGGGCCCCGAGAGTGAGAAGCAATACCTAGTACCCTGGGTAGGTCGAGCAATGACGAAATCTCCGATGATAAAGTTGAAGGGCAAGTGGAGACCAATAATGCAATCAGATTAACTAGTTCTCTCTTTGGCAAGTTCAAGCTTTATTGCTCTTTGCCTCGTGTGATCTGGTCGCCGACAATGGAGCTTTTGAGCCATGGATTCTCCTTGCTCAGGACAAAAAATGACATAGGTATATATATATATATGTATGTGTGTGTGTGTGTGTGTGTGTATGTATGCAGAAATTGGGATGTGGTTCGCGGTCTGGTATTTGGCCAATCTAAATTTTCAATTTGTGTATGCTTTAGAGATGAGAGGATTCTGACGTGGTAAGTTTATTGTCGCTAGTGGGCAATTTGTAAGGAGGTGTGTGAAGATCCAGACAAAGCCTACGCAAAACCGGGGAAAGCTCTAGAAAGTTCTAAAGTTGCTGGATGTTCCCCGGTCCTGGGATGATATCAACCAAGCTATTAATATTCAGCATGGATGACGTTCCCAAGTTTTCAATGGATTCTCGATTCAAGGTCCGTGTGGGAAGCCCCGAAAAGAGTGTGGTTGAGGGAGGGTTTTTTTTTTTTGGGGGGGCTGACAAAGCCCCTGAAGAAACGAGCGCCAAGAAACTTGCCAGTTAAATGCATGGAACCCTGCACATGGGACTGTTTTAGGAATGGCGTGGAATATAAAAGTTTAATTTAAGCGTTGGGGATGTGATAACAGGAAATGACAGCCGCAATTAGAACGTCTCGGTGAGCGCATGGGAGGTATGGTTGATTTGGCGAGGTTGAGCATTGCGCCCTGTCCGAGCGGCTGTTCTGCTGTTCTGGAATGGCGGGCAGTGCGTACTGACGCAATAGCGCTGCGTGCGGAGTATTTGATTAATGAATGATGTATCATTGCAGTATTTTTTACGTCACGCGAACTGCCCCAGATTGGTCCTGGAGTCCAAATGTAATGGCTGTAATTTAAAAGCGAATTAAGATATGTTGAGATGTATGCGTAAGGAATGTGTAATGTTCGGTACTAGCACTGCGTCCATACTAAACCAGACAACCCGCTAAGCCCAAGGGACTCAACAGCCTTGGGGACTCGGGGTCGGAGCATGTGACAGGGCTCACTCCAACCTCCGCCGAACCTTCACCACTCTCTGGAACATCCACTGCGCATGTCCTGCACAAACCACTGGCACTGGGCGACCGCCAACCATTCGAACTACGCCAGCTGAGCAAATCCATGATCCATCTCGACGAACACTATCACTCTGTCCTCCAGGTTTGGATGCTCGAGAAGGCTCGGACTGAAGACTCATGCCAGGCTGCTCCTGTTGAAACCCACTGCGCCCAAGACATTTGCTCTCTCCTTCCCATCCGCTAGCCAACAACAACACCTTATTTTGCCCCCCCCCCCAGACTTTTTGCTTCCCTGGACATTCTTATTCCCTTTCCCCCCTTC